AAGGGGGTTCAGACAGAGCTCTCAGAAGAGCAGATCGGTGACAGCCCCGGCTTCGGGGTTGCGGCTCTGCCCCCGCAGGACTCGGGCACCGAGCCGCTCCGGTAACTCAACACGCGCAGGGAACACAAAGAACTCAGCAAGTAGGGAAACCCCGGCCCTGCGAGCGACTCGTGGGTGCACCCGCAGCCAAAGCACCCGGCTCAGAGGGCGGCTCCCCGGTGCCCGACACGTGGAGGCGGCCGCGGCCGTACCTTTCCCATCCATAGAGTGCACGAAATCCCCACGATACGTTTTGCTCTTTAATTTCTCCTCCAGACTGAAACTCCTGACGCTGACGATTTCCTCCACGTCCGAGAGGTCCTCGTGCTCATCGTACCTCCTCCTACCAATGGGCCGCTGCAAAACACAAAGCACACGGGGTGGAAAAGTGGGGTCGGTGGGGAGGGCGATGCGACCAGCGGTAGTGGCACGAGATTTGCCAAACCTCCCCCGGTGCGAGCCCCAGCCGCTTACAGCACCTTTTCCATCTCCTGACAGCGTTAACAGGTGCTGAGCTGCAGGAAAAGCCAAACAGGGGAGAGGGATACGCTTGGCCCCACAGCCGGTTGTTAGTATCATTTTGCCACACGGGACCACTCCGGAGAATGTAGAGGGGTATCATTTACCCCAGAGCGCAGCGTTAAGGTTGTGTTATTTACATAATCCCGGGGTTTCCATAGCCACGCCGGAAGCCGCGATTTAAAAGCTGGGCGCATTATGTAACGCCGCGATGAATTTCTCCCCCCCACCCCCTTATCGCAGCCGGAGCCTGCGCGCTTCTACCGGAGCACAGATTTGGGGAAGGAAGGGGTTAATGAGGCCGGGGGTGGGGGGTTGATGCCACTGCCCCCGCCCCACAGCATCGCCCGGAGTTGGGGGGTCGGGGGGTGCGACACGCACCGGCCCGGGCCGCTGCTGCGGGGAGAACTAAGTCTGTACCCTCTCCTGTTCCCCTCGGTTAAATCCCCCCCTCCCGGTGCCTGCGTTGCTCCGTGGTGAGCTATGGCGCTCTGCAGCCTGCCCCGCTCACCGTGCGAACAATTACGCAAAATCAAATAAAAGGCACAAATAGGAAAGAGACCGAAGACGGCTACACACCAATCTTCTTCCAGAATCCTTCTCCGCCTTCATTTTTTCGGAGAGTTTCATCACTTAATTGTCAACGGCTCCTGTCCTGCATGTTTGGCCCGAACGGGGAGGAGGGAACACAAAAGGCGGCTGCTAAAGGTCTCGCTAGAGTTGGGCAAGTTTGCACCAGCACTTTTTTGGGGGGAGGGAAGGGGAGGGGCGGCGATGCGCTGTGCCAGGTCTCAGGGAGCCGCGGCCGGGTGGCAGCGCAAAGAGCCGAGGGGAGGGCAGCGAGTGCGGCTTTAAACCCGGCACTTAGCGCCGTGCGGTGGGGGAAAGGAGTTCCTCGGCTGGGGGCCGAAGAAGTCCTAAAATCACCTTACGTGGCCGCCGGTACAAGCAGCTGTTGGGACCGTCTGACCACTGGGCAGGCAGCAGGTTTGGAGCCCTTCCCGCCAGAAGGCACATCGCGGGGTCGCGGGCTGATGGCATCGGCTGTGCTCCTCTCACCGATTCCCCTTCCACACATATAATTTTTGCAGTTGATGTGAGACTTAAATGAGATTCTACCTTTGCTACAGTCCTTGCAGCCCCCGAGTTACGGGCCTCTGCTCCAACGAACCTCAGCAGCAAACTTCAAGCTGCCTTTCTCAGATCGCCTACGTGGAGGCTGAGCTCTTTCTTAAATAGGGCATTTCACTACTCCTGTCTGCTTGTGCTGAACAACAACGTCTGCACACGGCATCCGCTTTCCCCTCGCATACCTCATCAATTGCATTCTAAGCACTGCATCAATGTATTCAACATTATGATAAAAGACACAAAAATTCACCTTTGCAGGCCTTGCTGCTCATCTCTTTGGAAAGGCCCATATTGTATCAACCCAAGGCACACAGGTAAAGGCAGGGCTTGTCTCTTGAAAAGGGCTCTAACACAAGATTGAAGGCATTGAGATCCTCTTCCTGCATCTGCCAACAACTGTTTGCAGAATCTTGAGGAATCATGTAATCTTTCTCTAACATCTTCCTACTTGCAGACGATTGAACCTTATTATCATATAGAAGCAGTGTATGGGTTATATATTGAAGTGTGGGTTGCAGATGTCTGTTACGTGGAGTGCATTATTAATCCATAATCCTGAAGAGATGGATGTATATGGTGACCTTTCAGCCAAGATTACTCAATCTTAAAATTAAATGCATGTGTACATCTGCAGGATTGAGGACGGAGGACTTGTACAAGATAAATGGATGTTACTAGAGACTCATCAAACAAAAAACACATCATCCATCCAGTCTACAGAAGTCCACCAGCAAAGATGGAACATACACATAAAAGAAAATCAAGTCATTTTTCTCTATCTTTTTTTTGGGACATGAACTATCTGAGCCTTTCGGTGCACCAAACCAACCCACCAAGGGCTGTGTTAATCACTCACACCTGGAAACACTCGAGCACACGACTGAAATATGGAAGTATGCTTCAGAAATATCAGTTTTAATCTATAAACCTCCAAACATAGTAAACACATTTGTAATCTCGTTTTAAGACAAAAGTGATTCCAGTGAAGCTACAATTCATTTCCCCTTTGAAATACGACTGCAATAATTTTGTGTATTAATACCAAAACACAAAGTCACAAACTTAAAAGAACTGAGGAAAAAAGAGGGGTGGTAGGATGTATAGGATCACATCCCAGCTGCATTAGGTGGGATGAAGTCATTTAGAGCGGTATCAAGGCCATGTGCTGCAGGATGCAGGTTAACTGCTGGCAGCTGGGCTGAGAGCTCATTTCCCCCCAGAGCCACTCGTGGTTTCTTAGCAGGGGTAAGATAAAAAAAACCACCCAAATACAGTTTTAGGAGAAAACTTCATGAGTATCTGAATGCCAGCATACAGATTTCTGAGGGCTCTCTGGGAAGAAACCTGGGACTCCGGCTGCTTCCTCTGACTGTGTTCATGCAAAAATGATCCAGAGAATGGGAAAAGGTTATCTCTAATTAGGGGCAATAGCAGCCTGCTGCTGCAGGGGCCAATTCCCTTTCTCATGCGTATATGTCCCACGTTAAGGCTAGTGTTTGCGTACCCACAGGGAAGCTCGCTCGATTCAGCGGCCTGATCCAGACACAAAACTAACTCAGTACGAAAAAAAGCCTATATTTTTATTATGTCAGTACTCTTGCTCTGCAGCCTGAGGCAGAGGGGTGGTGTAGTTTACAGGATGGACGGGTGAATGAGGTGTGCTGAAGGAAGAGTGCAGGACTACACCCTTTTGGCGGCCTTCTGCTATTGCACTCATCCGAGGTACCAACAAACCCCGGCTTTGAACTCCCGCATGATTTCAGAACTCCCTGAAGCATTTCTGAGTTAATTAAGCCCGAGTGAGTCATCGTTTCAGCTCACTCTAGAGGAGAGAGGTGTGTATAGCGGTGAGTAATTAGGGTTGGAAATAAAAGAATTATCCCGGATAGTTTATATCTCATAATGGAGGTGTAAATGGATACACTGTTATAGTTGTAAATGGAAGAGGTGTGGTGTTGATTTTTATTGTTGCTGTTCGTTTTAAGACTTAAAACACATAAAACAGAGTACTTCATAATACTATTGTATGCTGCCTTTCACACAACTCCTATGGAGCGTTACTGTAAGTCATGTCACCCTTGGAAGAGAAAGAAGTAGCAAAGAGCATCCGAGGTTGCTTTTATTACGGGAACTCTGAGTCAAACTGCTTTTCACAGAGGTCTCTCAATGATCCTGCAGACAAACATTTAACTAACAGATACTTTTGACATTAGAACGACTCTGGTTATTTCCTGAGAGAAGAATGAGATAGAATCTATGACCAGGTTGTTTCAGACACTGTATCTACGAACTTCAAATTGTCTGGATTTTTCCCTGGCTGTGTCAGCTGCTTTTTGGCGGTGTAAATGGAGAGAAAAGCAGTGTGATCTGCGTGTGCGCATTCTGTTGTCGCCTTTAGATATAAGAAAAAGAACAATCTTGCAAATAAAGAAAGGTGTTAAGAGGACCAAAGCAAAGACACTCAAGGTGTGTTGCAATTATTATTTTGAGGTGAAAAACTTCCATGTCACAGAAAATCACCCATTCCTTTAATCCCTAACAGCACTGCTGTTGCAGCAATTCAGCTCGTGCATACCTGTAGGCAGTGTCCTCGCCTGGCGTTTCTGTGGCGAGAATCATCCATCTCCTTGCTAGAACTCTTTAGCAGTGGGTTTAAGCCTCACCTCTTCAGCAGTGGCCCTCGGAGCTGTGCCACCGGCTTACTGCCTGCTCTGCACCTCGCTTTTCCCTCTGTAAAAGGCAGGGAAATAAATAGAACTGCATGCTGTTGACGATTGCAAAACTGACAAGCACTGGCACTGGCCGTTCTGCTAACCGCCGGCTGTTATCAGCCACTCGCTGATAAACGAGTTTGCACAAACGTTGATCTGGTGCCGAGGGCAGAGGTTAGCTCTGAAATGAAGCGCCGGAGGTTTTCGGGGAGGCGGGCTGAGGGGGGGCAGGCAGCGCTGTAAGGCAAGGCAGCGAGAGGCGCGAGTAACGGCTGCCCCGGTCCCTTTTCTCTGTCCTGAGAGCGAGTGCAGGGGCAGTTCCCACAGAGGTATGAGAAGTTACGTAAGAAAACACAGAGGCCTGTCAGTAAAACGCGCCTGACGGTATCAGAATCGCTCCGCTCGGGGCCGTCGAGCCGCGGCCGCACTTTGCCTCAGCGCGGGAGGCGGGAAGTAGCCGCGCGGCGCCCCCTCAGGCGGCAGAGAGGGGCGGAGCGGGCGGCGGCGCGCAGACTCGGAGCGGCGGGCGGCAGGCGCGGCCCCAGCACCGGCAGCAGCGCCGGGCGCCATGGGGCGTTAGCCGTGCAGCTGGTGCCCTCGCTCTGCCTCCGGAAGGAGCCGCCGTCGCCGCGAGCCGCTCGCACCGCTCCTCCGCCGCCCGGAGCTCATGAGCCTGAACGAGCACTCGATGCAGGCGCTGTCCTGGCGGAAGCTCTACCTGAGCCGCGCCAAGCTGAAGGCTTCCAGCCGTACCTCCGCGCTGCTCTCCGGCTTCGCCATGGTGAGCGCCCGGCGGGTGAGGGGCGCCGGCTGAGGGCGGGCGGGCGGGCGGAGCGGCGCTTCCCTTTTCCGCGTCGCAGCCTTTCCCGCCGCGCTGCGCTGAGGGAGCACCGCGCGAGGCCGGGGCGGCTCCGTGTGGGGATTTAGCTCTTAGAGAGGGTGGACCTCGCCACGCGGCCGTCTGGTGCTGATGCCGCCGCGTTGCCCTCAGGCAGGCACAGCCTCGCCGGCAGCCCTCGCGGCGGGGGGAGGGCCGGGGTCGCGGGCTGCGGTGTTGTTTTGCAGGCAAATAAAGGCGAATAATCCCTTGGACTTTTAGAGATCGACGTGAACCGATATATTGAAAAACTCTCGGGTTTGCCTCATTCTGAGGGAGTTGTGCGCGCTTCCTGCTGTTTTTTGTTTTTCTGTCGCTTTGGTCCAGAATCCGTCGGACGCTCCCGGTTACTTCACGTGGAAGTCGGTCCGTGCCCGGTGCTTGCAGCGGGAGCCGCTTCCCGCCGCGCCGCCGTTCGGGCGGAGGATGCTGCTTCAGAGCGCGGCGGCGAAGCTCTGTCGCTCTGACGGTCAAATAAATGTCACTGTCCTCCTCTGGCGGCTAAAAACAGCCCGCGGGGACTGAGTGACAGGGCGCTGTGTCGGCCGGGGGGCGGTGAGCTGGGGCTGCGCTTCCTGTGGTACCGCCGCTGGCAGCTTGGCTGCTTCGCTCGGTGTTTCTGACAGCGAGGGCAGAAGGTGGAAAAGAGAATCTCTGCTTTCGTCTGTGGGCAGTTGTGAATGGTTGCGTTTGCAGAATTCCGTAGAATCGCTTTATTTGCAAGAGACCTCCGAAGGCCGTCTGCTCCCACTGCCCGCAGTGCACAGGGACACCCACAGCTCCATCAGTGCTCACAGCCCCATCCCCTGACCGTGGCTGTGTGCAGGAATGGGGCTCCACCACCTCTCTGTGCACCCTGTGCAGTGCCTCACTGCCTTCAGTATAAAAACTTCTTCCTTGTATCCAATCTAAATCTCCCCTCTTTCAGTTTGTAACCATTTCCCCTATGACAAGCACCACTAAGGAGTCCATCCCTTCTTTCTTACAGCCCCTTTTGACTCTGACAGGATGCTCTCAGCTCTCTCCAAGCTGTGCAGCCCCAGCTCAGCCTGTGCTTCCAGGGAGACGATCCATCCCTCAGATCATTTTGTGGCTCTCTGGACTCACTCCCAACAAGTCCACATCTCTCCTGTACTAAGGATGCCACATCTTAAAACATTATTTAAATACTATTATTTAGAAGTAATTCTTAATCTCATAAATCTGCTTGGCTTTTCTTTAAATATTTATTCTGTGGGGTCTGGATCCCTGTGAACCTATGAGCTGAGACTCGTTTGCTTTCCAAGGAGCTCAGGCAGCTGGGGGTGCTGCAGTATGAAACTGCAGCTTTGAGGTAATTCAGGAAAAGCTACTTCGTCCTGCTTGGAGAAGCCCTTGCAGCCTGGAGTGTTACATGTGAATGTTGTTTTTTTTTTCTGGAAGTTACCCCTTCAAAAAAAATTGTACTTTTGTTTTCGTTGGTAAAGTCACGCTGGAAATCAGCTTGTAACCCTGTTGGTGTGTTACAGGCAGTCAGCTGCTGGGACTTCCTCATTGGGTTACGGAAGAGCTGATTTCATGTTCAAGTATTTTTAGATTTCTTTTAAATAACTTTGCTGATCTGCTCAAGGAGTGCTTTCTGCACCGAAGGCAGGGCCTGCTCTGTGCTGTCACGCCTCCGCATTGTTCTCGGAGTTCAGAGTTCGGTGGATTCCTCAGCACCTGATGTCTGAACAATGGGCTGCTGTGCTGCAATCTGGTCCTGGATCTAAAACTTTTTACAGCAATTAAGAGTCTTTGTTCCTCCCTTTTCCTTATCAACACAAGAAAGAGCCCGAAAGACACATCCAGGACTTGCCAGCGCATTGCTGGGAATTGCAGCCGTGCAGTGTGCTGCTCTCGTGTGCTCCATTGATCCGTGGTCTTTTATTAAACAGTGCTTACATCCTTTAGTACCAGCTAAGTGTATTCCCACTAAACTGGTTCTTCGCCGTTGGATTAATCCGGCATCTAACTGCAGCCATTTTGCAGAGGTTTTTCCCTCAAGATTAGTGAAGCATGCCCCAGTTAAATGATCCATGCCAAAGTCGTAATTGCAGAGAGCAACAATGTGTAGAGCATGAAATACTCAGCCAGGTTTCAAGCTCACGAGTGTTAACGTTTCCACAGAGGACTTTTTAATGAAAGCCTGCTTTACAATGAGTGTTGGTTCTGAGCCTACACACCAGGATGTTACGCTTTGAGTTGGCTTTGAGGAAGTAATGCAGGCTCTGGTGGCTGCAGAGAGATGTTAGTGATGCTCCTCAGTGTTTCCTTTGCAGATTTCCATGGGTGCTGTTGTCTGGTCCAACATGTTACCTCTGCTGACCATCTCCACTAGAAGTACTTTGCAGAGGGTACCCAAAAATCACAGGGAAGCTGTTAAATCCCAACAACTATTGGAGTGGAGAAGTCAGATCCCCCCTCACCTGCTGCCAATTAACAGCTCTCCGAAAAAACTCAAGCCTAAATTAGGTGTCTAAATTACACAGCCTTGGTGGTTGACTTAGTTATATTTAGAATTTGGAGGATGTCACTTAGCAGAGAGTGCACTTGTAAACACCTCTAATGATTCAAACTAGGCAGACTGTTGCAAGTAGTAACATACAGGCTTAAAATACTGGATATTGTCAAAGAACCGTATGCAGTTGCCTTTGGAAGAGCTGATACAGAAGGCAGCTTCTGTCATCTTTTCTAGCAGTTGGGCTGCATGGAAATGTTGAAAAGTAGGATCCAGCCCTGCTGCTGCCAGTGCTGGGCAGGTACAGGAGGTACTCTGCCATCCTGCATGCTTCAGTCATCCCTCGTTAGAAGTCGTGTTAGCTGTAGTTTACCACATTTCTGGAAGAATGATGTGCAACAGCTACATTTTGTAGTCTCCAGTAAAGCCTTACAGCCTGGTTTCACAGCTCCTGCCACCACATATCTTTTATATCGCTATTGCAGTTGGAGGTTTTTACTGCAGCCAGAAGGATCTGCTCTGTATAAAAGGTTTCTCCTCTTTGCTTACTGCTGTGAAAGCAGCATTTTGTTGCTCCTTTGAGCATCCCTGTCTGGAGGTTACAGATGAGCAAGGCAGGCAGCAAGGAGAGCTTTGGGCTCTCTCTGATCTCTAGCAGCAGCTGCCTGTGGCTGCTATCATTTGGAGAGTGTAAAGGTGATGTGAAGCTGTTGTTTGTTCCTGTTGTGCTGTCTAATGTGACCTTAAAAACTAGATTTACTGTAAGTAGTGCCACGTCAAGATGCTGCCTTCTCAAGGTGCATTCACTCTGATTGTGTGGGTATTGGATTTTCATGTTTATTAACCAAGGTAAATTATGCATTTCTGTTCCAGTGGTGACTTTAGCAAATATTAACATTTTCCATTCTAAACATATAACAAGCCGCAGAGTCGCAATTCTAGGCTAGTACGTAAGTGATGCTTCCTTCTGTGTTTTAAAAAAAAAAAAAAAAAAAAAAAAGCAATAATATCATTTTGGTTTGCCTTTTTAAATTTCCTGCGACTGTTTCTGGCTCATACACTGTATGAGTTGTTTATAACTTGTAATGAATGGTGCAAGAACTGCAGAGCCTGCCTTTGTGTCTCTGTCTCTGGGAGTGTGCAGCACTGCCAGGCAAAAGGAGGCAGCTCAGGAGCTGAGGGCAGCTGCAGGAGCACTGTGTGATCTGTTACTGAAACAACCTTGTGATCGCAGCCTCTGCTCTGGCAAGGTGAAGGTGTTGTAGTTCTGTTGCATTTCTCCAGGTCACATTTAACTCTCCTTGTGTGGATGGGCCCGTATGATATCCAACCACAAAGCTTTCTTATAAAATATTCTTCACGTATTGCTCTGTATAAAAATTGTCCTTTTCTCTTCATTGGTTTCTTACCTAGGAGTGGCAGCCAAGGGCAGGGATGAGGAGCTGAGGGCAGCCTTGCAAGGATGTAGCCTTGATTAAGCCTGTGATTAAGGGGGAGAGCTCTCAGTAACTGTTTGCTGCTGTTGCTATTGCCCATAACAACAAAGCAGTTATCTTCTTTCCAGTGTAGAGTCTCGAGTGTCAGTGTGACCTGCTGCACGGTGCTCTCAGCTCACTTCTCCCTTTTGTTTTTCTTCTGATCATTGTCTCTCATGTCTTATTTTCATGGAATAATTCTAATTTGAGGGAATCCGATTGTTAAACAGGAACTGAAACTTGTCTTACAGCTTATAAAACTGGGAAATAGTGCTGGAATTTGAAGCAAGTCTTTAATGTCTGTCTCCCCTGTGCTAAAACGAGCAACTGACAAGCCAGAGCAATAACTTACCCTGCGTTTATGTGGCCATAGGAGTTTCATTTGCAGCGACCAGTTCTCTGTAGAAAATGGTGTTGTTGCTGATGAAAATTGCTTTACCAGCGTAGCACAGCTCATTCCTTGTTACTGGTGTTTGTCAGTCACTGTGTCAGTGCTCTTCTATGGGTAGAAACTTCAGGAGTGCTCAGCATTTTCCTTTTCTTTTCAGAGTGTAATGAGACATGGAAATATTGCACGCAAGCAAGTGAAATGAACTTGTTTCAGGACACTGAATTGTAAATAGAGCTGAAATTTCAGCAGCTTCTTCAAGAGGGTAGGCTGATTTCTTGCAGACTGGTATTGTTCAGGCTCCCTTAACTGTGAAATCCAGAACTGTTGAAGGCTTGAACATGACATGTGCCCAAACTCAGTCATTGAAAGTGTGAGCGCTGCCCTTCTGTGGCCTTATGCAAACTCCAGTCTTGTATCCTGAAATCATGAGTCTTTGAGTTTTGGTAGGAAGTTCTGTTTCAGACTTACAGCTTTGTCAAGGGCTGCAGTAAATCTGTTGATCATATCTGTAGGATGACCTGAAGTTAAAGTTAGCTCTTCTCGGAGCTGGGGATTAGAGCAGATGACCTCTTGAGGTGTCTCCCAGCCTACATTACGCTCTGGTTATGCAGCAAGGCAAGATGCATGCAGTGCCCTGTCAGCTGTGCAATACAAATCAGGTGGCAAGTGTTCAAAGAAACTTTAAAAGTGGTGAAGGCAAAGATGCTGAAGCAGGTTGTTTTGGATACCATGGAGACATCAGTGCCCTGAGGGTTGCATGTTCGAGTCAGTGTAGAAAACTACTAGAGGTCACAGAGGAAAAAGTCCTGTGTGGAACATCAGCATCTATATGTCAGACTTTGCACTGTGTGGGATTAGATCTTAGCAAACATGCTCACCTTGGCCCTGGAATTGCAAGCATGACCTTACAAGAGCAGTTCTCATCTGTTTATTTTGAAGTTGCAGCAGGAGCAAAGGAGGCAGGAACTTGTTGTGCTTTGCTTCACTGTTGGAAAGCAGATGCAGGACCTCAATGAAAAATGGAGCTTTCTGTTTTAGGTGCCTGGCCTGTGCTGTTTACTTTCTTTAGAATGGAAGCTTGCAACTGAGAAGTGTTGGCAGTTTTTCTGCTGTTTTCCAGAGAAAGGTTCCCAAAGCAACTTCCTTGGTAGTTTGAGGAGACAGAAAACATGAACTGATTTCTCACTTACAGGTCAAGCGGGAGTTGCTCTGCCAGGCGCAAGCACAAGGCAGCTTTGCTGTGCCCCCTGTGGAGGCTTTCTATCAACTTTAGTAGGCTTTGAAATCCTTTGGGCATTCTGCATCCTACAGCCTCTATCTGAAGGGATTTCTGAAGTATCCATTGATGCTGAATGAATGCAAAACAGAAGTGCTTTCTTGCTTTCCCTGCTCCTTTCAGGGTGTTTCTAACACTATGTCACAACTGCAATAGAGTGTGTTTCCCTTTTGCTTAAGGGTGTCTCTGTACAACTAATTGCTTCAGCATAATTTTTTTCCTTTCCTGTCTATGAACACATGAAAAACTCTTATGTCTTTGTTTCTTAGGCACATTTTCTCATCAAGGAAAGTTTAAGAAAAACATCCACCCCCCTTTGTGGAGAGCCTGTAGTCTGCAAAGAGCTGTCAGTGTTGGTGGGCAGCACTGATCATGTCTCAATATACCCTGAATGTTCAAAGTGTGGAGCTTTCGCACTGGTCCCTTGGAGGGCTGAATCTATGAAGCTGTCATCTCCTTAGCGTCAGGAGGAATATTTTTCCAGCTGTTTTTCAAGTGGGCAGATGGCTTCTGCCTTGTTTGCCCATTCTCAAACCGGGAATACTGGGCAGTGTGCAGTGGTGCCTGCCTGGCTGCCAGCTTACTGCGCTGCCTTGAGATGGTGTTGGTGCCGCCTGTAATTCTTCTTACAGAGACGGTATGCTTGCAGTCATAGCAGCTAGTTGCACGGTATGGTTTGAGCTGAAGGAAGTTACACCCTTCCTGCTTTCGAGTTGGTCTCAGCGTGTTTCAGAAAGCACTCACAGAAGCCATATGGGGCCGGCCAGCGCAGCAGGCGCCCTGTGCAAAGCTGCTCTGCCTTAACGCCCATCAGCCACAGATGCCGAAGCCTTGTTTGTGTCCCTCAAGCTCAGGTTTCACCTGTCCTGTCGTGGTGTTGTGATGGTAGAGACTCATGGGGGGTGTCCAGCAGTGATAAAATGCAGCCTTTTTCCTCAGGAGATGCCTGGCCAGGATCTCTGCTTCTTGGAGATCAGAAGTCCCTATGATTCTCTCTGCACAGACCTATCTGAATGTGTGAATGCTGCTTGAATTATGCTGTTCTCGTGTAAGATGCTCTTTTGGTTGCATTTAAGTAAAGGCAAATCGTAACGAGGTACTTCTAGATTACATGTAATTGTTTGAGATTTCCTTCAGCTCAGCCTAGGGAAAGAGCTTTCTTTCTGATGCCGTTGAAATGGGAAGAGCTCCAGAACAGCCAATATGTTGCAACTATGAGCCTGTCTGAACTTTAGAATCAGCTGCTTGATATCGTCATTAATGTTATCAACATTTGGCGAATGAAATACTTCAGAAATAATCAGTTTTTATGAGAAAAAAATATTTATCTTATGGTGTTCCTTGGTGTCTCATTTGGTTGTTATCATAATAAGAACTGGGATGGAGGATTTAAATGACAAGAGTGGAGAATTACTGAGTCTGCAATAGACCCAGCAGCCCAGCTTTTGCATTCAAGCTACACACAAGAAAATGTACATGGAAAAAATGTTGATAAGTAAGAAAATGACTCCTCAGTGGTGAAGACTTGCAGTTGTTCTGTGAAAAACACAGCACAGGAAGCCCAGCATCCCACGAGTGCATGGGGACTTAGAGAGCAATCCCTGCTGAAGGGAGACCTGACGGCCATATGTTTATCCTCTCAACTGTGAAGTTTTTCACAGCTGAGAAGTGGTTATTTTAAAACCTTCACACAAGAATTGTGTATGTATTACTGTAATTTCTTGTGGAGTTTCTTTAGCACTTGGATGCTGCTCACTAGCTTGGCTGGTTGGTTGGGCTTATGATGACAACAGCTTTCAATAAAGGAATTAAAATATTGGCAAATGGCCTGGAGTGCCTGTTGAAACGTGTGTAAGAGCCTTGGTTGGCTTAACGTTTGGGGCAGGCAGTTAGGAGTTGGGGTGCTATAGGACGTGCTGGCTCTGTGTGTGAGGAGCTGGGACCCCACACTTGGTGCAGTTTTAGTTGCTCTGGCAAAGCAGTGAGGTTGAATGCTCACTGTTTGTGCAGCTGTCTATGAACATTTTTCCTTGTAAGTTTTTGATGAAAATTAAGGTGTCTGAGATGCGTGCCGTAGTCTGAGCACCATTTAAGCCATCTGTGTGGTGCAGCAATGGGCCAAACCTGTGCTGATGAGACACAGGAGAGATGCTTTCCCAGCGACGTGGCTACAGCTGCAGCTTCCAGAGGTTGGTGCTGGCCAGGGCTTCTCATACTGCTTCATTCCTTGAACAGGAGGATTTCTGCTGTAAACACCCTGTTATTATTTCAAACAGGAGTAACTACTGTGTTTTCTGGACCTGAGATCTTAGCATGCTGAATTGAATAATTCCTTCTGGAATCTTCCCCTCATTGGTTTTGTTCACTTTTCTTGCCTAGGAGAACATTGTTTTTCTTTCTTTCAGCCTTCCCCACACCACTTCCCTCTAACATGTATTTGGCACCATGCACATGGTGGAGCCTTTGGTGTTTTGAACCTTTTTTTTTTTGGAAGTTTGCTTTAACGCTTATTTTGAGTGAAAGAATGTAACTGAGAGCCCTGTGGAAAGGTGATCCTCTAATGAAGGGCTCTGGCTCTTCAGAACACAGGCACAGAAGATGAAAGGAGTAGCGGGGTTTGAAGGCAGTCTGCAGCCTTCACAGGCAGCCATGTTACTGATACCTACTTCAAATGACTTCGCACGGCATTCGTTCTACGTACGTATGTGACACAAAGCATTTCACAACACTCAGCAATACTTAGAGTCTATAGTAGAGTCTGCCACTTTAGTAGTGTGGGAAAGAAGAACTCTTCCACCTTGTGATCAGCATGGTTGGACTCTTAAAATCCAGCTGTTCTGTGGGATGAGCTGGAGGTAGCTCAGTGGCTGTGCTGCTCGAGGCTTTTGTGCACGCTGATGGTTGGCTTTAAGCTGAGCAGTAATTGTGAAGGGGTGGCTTTGTGTGATGGCTGACACCTAAGACTGAAGAGTGGTGCAGCCTGTTGCTTTGTTTGGATCAGGTGAAGTTCCAGAGTCATTGGAGCATCAAATAAGTATTTTTATTGTCTCGGAATAAGCAGAATTAGAATGACATGCCTAATTATCCTGCAATTAAAATCATTTAAAATCAGAATTGGTAGTCAAGCAGTATGTAACAGAGGTAATTATATCTCCTTTTTTTCCCTTTCCTTTCAGGTGGCCATGGTAGAAGTTCAGCTTGATGCAGAGCATGACTACCCACGAGGTCTCCTGATAGCCTTCAGTGCCTGTACTACAGTCCTTGTTGCAGTTCACCTTTTTGCACTCATGATAAGTACCTGCATTCTTCCAAATATAGAGGCTGTTAGCAACGTGCATAATCTCAACTCCGTAAAGGAATCTCCTCATGAGCGTATGCATCGGCACATTGAGCTTGCCTGGGCATTTTCTACTGTCATTGGGACTTTGCTCTTTCTTGCAGAGGTGGTGTTGCTGTGCTGGGTGAAGTTTCTTCCCCTGAAGAAGAACCCCCTTGACCCAGCTCAGAGCAGCAATTCCAGCATCACGTCAGGACAGGCAGCAGCCATTGCATCGACGTCTATCATGGTTCCCTTTGGACTGATTTTCATTGTCTTTGCAGTCCACTTCTACAGGTCTCTGGTGAGCCATAAAACAGACAGGCAGTTTCAAGAATTGAATGAACTTGCTGAATTTGCACGGCTCCAGGATCAGCTGGATCACAGAGGTGATGCCATCTCCCCAGCTGTTACCCATTTTGCATAAACCTGTACTTAAAGAAAATAAATCCACCGTTCTGCTCCTGCCTTATGTTGACTCCCCCATGCATGAATGTTCAAACTGTTGATTTTCTTTTCATAGAAGTTTATAAATGTTTGGGGAAAAAAAACCAACCCACAACAGTTCTCCCCTTACCATGGCTAGCTGAGAAGGAATGGATGACCGGATGTGCATGTGCCACATCCCTTTTCTGAGCACTCTCATTTGTTTCTGCCTGCCACTGAATGGTGGCTACACAAATGCAAGGAGAGTAATGCTGTACATTTGGGTGACAGGGATGGACAGAGAAGCTTTTTCCTCTTTGTTTAACGTTGGCATTTACTAGAAGATACTGTTTGTCCAGTCCGTGTTGCATGGCATGATACAAATTACTTGGGATATGCAGCAATTAGCACTCGGTTTCAGTGCTAGCACTCTCAGTTCTCTAAGTCTGACAGATGGTAGAAGGGAAAGCTCTCCCACCACTTTCTCCAGTGTGTTTTGCTGCCAAGTAATTCTTACATCAGTGACTTTTCCAGCACCTTTCCATGGCAGCTGCATGCTGTGTAACTCACTGAACACCCGTGACTCGTTCTGCTGCCATGTGGTATGGCCACAGAAGGAATGAGACTGCTATGCTCTTCTTTGGAAGAAAATAAAAGCAATAACTGTTTTCAAGTTCTCAGAAGCTGGCATGTATTATCTGGAGAGATAGAACTGCCTGTTTTCCATTTAGGAATCTTTTTTTAAAAAGAAGGAACTAAATGGAAATTATCACTGGATATTTTTTTGCTTGAAGATCAGAACCACTGCTGTTTTTTCCAAGTCAAAGTAGCAATTATTTTATACTTTTATATTAAAAATATATTTTTAATAAATCCTCAGATACAAGCTGCAAAAGGTGCTTTCTCTGCATTGGATTCCCAAGTAATTAGCTATTGCTAAGCCTTGGTCTTCCTTGTTTAGAAAAAGTCTTCTGCTTGCTGAAGTGCTGCCCTTAGTAACTTCTTAAGATGTTTTTTGCCTTCCAGATCCTCTGGAAGCTAGTTTTAATCTCCATAGATGTATTTATGAAAGTAGATTATTTGTAACTAATATTGCTGCTTACTTTCAGACATGAATCTATGCTAGTGAGGCTCTGGTGTCATTTTCTTTTTTATTTTTAATTTCTTCCTTAACCTAAAACTTCCCTTGGGCCTCTCACGTGAGAGGTTTGGCCAAGAAGGATGCAGCAGTAGTCCTGGGCTGCTGCAGTAATTCCAGCTATGTCTGTAAGTGGATTTTCTTTGGAATGCAATTCTTGTGTAGAAAAGCTTTGGTTTGTAATGGGTCAGAGCCACTTTTGAAGACAAACTGAGACGGGTTTCAAATCGAATGGAACATACCTTTACACTGTGGAATAGAAACTGTGGTGGTTTTGTTGTTTTTGTTTGTTTGTTTTTCAATCAGACTGGTGAATGTGACAGTACAGGGAACTGTACCTGAGTGAGCCTGGGCTGAATGTGGTCTCCTACACCCAGCCTCCATCTCAGGTTATCCCGATGGATTTTCAGTCTATGGGATGTGGAAGGTGTTGACAGTGGTGCATCTGTTCTGAAAAACAGCCATTAGAAGAGGACCTGGTGCTTTTTCAGCAGGTTTCCTGGGGTATCCTCTGCCCACTGGCAGAAAACTCTTTTCCACACACCGGTTTCCCAGGGCCTCCTGCTGTACAGAGGCCTGGCAGGATTTTCTCCCGCTCTGCCATTCCGTTGTGTTTCAGGTGTTCTCATAGTGGTGTAAATCTATCGATGGTTAGAACTGTGGCTACCATTCCTCACACGTTTGTTCATGGAGCACTGTAAAGATTCTGATAGTGAAGGCAGTAAGAAAACAGCATTCCAAACCACAGTAACTGAGGCAGACACAGAGTTTGTTTTCCCATCTCTCGGTGGAATACCAGTCCCGTCCTGGGAGGGGAGATTCTCAAAACAGCAGTAAAGGAAGCAGATTTGACTCGATGTGCGTTCTGGAACAAATGGTCAGAAGGGTGCTATAGGGCTGAAAAATTATGCATCTGTCTGTAAATGATGTATTTAAAAGTCCTAACATTATTTTGAATATAAGTCCAGAAAATATATTATCCAAGCTTATTTTGTAAAGTTATTTGCTGTTCTTGGTAGGGTTCTGGACTTTTTATCTTGTGGGTCTTTTACAAAATGAAAGTGTTTTGTTTAGGAAATATAAAATTACGAGCTTATTTTTTAACTTTCTCAAGCCAGTAGGTCCTCACCTATTGGAGCTGTCAGCCCCAGCCATTTCACTGACTATTTTCTGCACTTTAATCTCTGATATCAAGTGTTCCTCTCGTTTTCCAGCTGTGGAAATGGTCACAAAAGTTGTGCCTTGGCCACGTCTCATAACTGTGTGCCTGAGGCAGTAACCAGGCCTGATTGTATGGCTCCAGATGTTGAGTGCACTTGAGCTTGTTTTTTATTCTTTATTTATACTAATGGTATTTCATGTTTACCTCAAGCATTTTAAATGTCAGTTATTGTATATCAATTATTTAGATATAAAATAACTTCAGATAATGAAATAAAATATACTCAATTGTTGCTGATTGTTACCTAGATGCCTAAAAATACTTATTTTCTCTACATCCATTGCCTCTGCCTGCCTGTGTTGTTGCTAATCCTCACTGTATTGCTGAGGGTCTCTGCAATGTATGCAGCTTCTCACTGCAGTCATACAAAGATGGTGTTTCCTGTTCACACAGGTATAAAGAGCCTAATGTTGGCAGAATGCTTTTCCTCCCATCAGCACTGTTTAAATCTTGACACTAAGTGCTCTGCTCTTTTCCAAGTGTTTAAATAGAAAAGTAGGTTATCTTCCAGCTGACAGAAAGTGAAAAGGGACCTCGCAGCTGTAAACAGGATGTGATACTCTGGAGCGTAGTTGAAATCAGGTGAACCAACTGCCTGCTGCCCGGTGTGTTCCTCAGCAGGCAGCCACTGACCTTGTGAGCAGCAGGAGGAATGAGCCAGGAGCTGGGCGAAGAGTCGCTGCATCCCCCAGCACATTTTGCTGCTGTGAGTGGTTGTTATTTGATTGCTGCTCGTGTTTAAATAACGGTGGGTGGGAGGAGGCCTGAAGCACAGCTGCCTGCACAGTGAGGCATACAGGGGCAGTTCTGGGGGACGGGTGAGGCTGACCACAAGACGACGTACAGCAGCATGGGCATGAGGCACGTAAGTAACCCGAGATCGTGTTCTTATCCTGCGTCTTTTGTCCTTCAGCATCCAGTTAGTCGTTCTGGCTGTCATCAAAAAGCACTCGGGCCTCTGCTAAAACACCATCAGGATCAGCTAGTTCAATCTAAATAAAAGGAACAGAAATCAATTATGCGGTGTAATTAAAGAGGCTTAAAGTTTATAGCTATTGATTAACGTTAACAGAGCATCTCCCATGCAGCAGGACTGTAGTTTATACCACAACCTTTCAGTTACTAATTCAGAAACATCACTGCACTTCCTGGATTTCATTACAATGTTGAATCCATTTGTCTCCTTGCACTACCCCAGCATGGAGCGCTGCGTTGATTCTTCTTTAACAAAAGCAATTCCTGGGCAAAACTGGCTCTGGTTTGCAGCCTGTTGGATCTCGCCTGCAGTTTCACAGTGAGTAATGAGCAGTGATATGGCTGAGCATCAGTAAGTCACGTGAAAGCAGGAGTCCATGTCATCAAATGGGGTGCATGCAGATAATGCAAAGGGAAGCACTAAAGCCGTGCCAGGAGCTTGTCATCTTGCTTTATAGCCCCACACGTGCTGGGGGCTTTATGTGTGTGTTCTCCCTCCCCAGTAGAAGACAGGGTCCTTGTTCCATGAAGCCTTACAAAGCCCTGGCTGCAGTAACTAGGACAGCAGTGCTCCAAGGCCACTTGGTTGTCCTTCCCCTCACTACAGTCAGGGCTCTCTCAAACACATCCTTCTATTGCTCATTTTCCTTGCATGCCTCGAAAGGAAAGAAGTCTGAGTTTTCCCTAACTGGTGCTACTGATGGTAATTTGACAAATGGTTTATGAAAGCCTGTAGTCAATTGTTCTCCTTTTATGTTTCTTCATTCCTGTTCTGAGATCAATAAATCTCTTCCAGCTGAAAGCACAATAATGGCAGTGAGAGCTGATGCTTTCTTTTAGTTCATAAAACAAGGAAAACTGGGTTATAATTTGGTCTTCATGGGAGTTAATTGAGCTGCTGGGCTCAAGCACCCTGCTTTAGCAGCTATGAAATTCATCTTGTGCCCTGGGCTGAGATGCCAAAGAGGCAGCTCTCTTGAGTGATCTCTGACAAATCATGTGAGGTAAAGATTTTTAGTTTAGATTTTTAGAAGCACTGCTCTTTTTGCGAAATTGGGGCTGCTTTTCTTTGGTGAGTGTTTGTTTTTTATTATTCTGTGCTGCTGTGACCGTACCTTAAACTTGAAGAAGGAACTGGCTGTCAAAAATGCTGGAGAACCTTACTAGAGAAAGAAGATGTGGATGAAGTTAGGAAATGAAGTTGTAAGAGCTGTGGGCCTCAGCAGGCCGTGCTGTGCCCAGCACTAATTACTACAATCCTGTTCCTGGAGCAGCATTACAAGGTAAGAAATGTCACTGGCTGTGAGGCCTCTGTTCCCTGCACTACTGGAAAAAAGCGGCTGTGTGCCAAGTTGTGGTCATTGGAGGTGTTGCAGCTCAGTTCTCAGCAAAGCTCTGCATTGTTTGCTGCTCTCAAGGAAACGGGGCAGCAGGGATGTTGGTGTGGGCACTGCCAGGGCTGGGGAACAGAGCTGGTGCAGGGCTCAGCTGGCTTGGCGAGGTGTGGTCAGCCTTAGCCATCGGGCTGGGAGAAATCATTTAGTTTTGACACAAACCCCACTGTTGTCTCTGGCTGTTAGCTGCATCTCCTCTGTGCTGGGTCGGAGTGCTAAGCAGTTTTGGTGCAGAACTGCATTTTCAGAAGCACAGGCAAGTCCAAGGCTCCAGCGGGGCCTCGTGCCACTGAGCCAGCTGCTTGGCCCTGCGGGGATGTTCGGGTCACTGCTAACCAAAAGAGCTTGAGTACAGATCCTGAGTGACTACCTGAAGAGAAAGCGTGACCCAAATAGGTACCGTGAGCTCTAACAAGTGCTGTTGGCATAGACATCGTTAGCAAACCAGCATTTCCAAGCAGTTACCTTTGGGATTGGATACTGGGTGGGGGCAGGAGCTGCATCTCTGCTGAAGTCGATCATAATCCCGCATTTTGGTACATCTGTCACCCAGATGCCTTCAAGCAGTTGTCCCTTATTCAAGAAGAAGAATCTGCCTGGGCCGTGCTTCTTTCCATCTTTCCAACCTCCTTCGTACCTGTCATTGTTTGCTGCGATCAAAGACATGAACAGACCGTGAGATTTGCATGTGCTCATCAAGAGGCTAGGACCAAAGCTGAGGCTACGTCAGAGGGGCTGTTGCCTGCACAGGGTGTGCTGCAGCACTCGGGCGTTCCCATGCATTGCTCACATCTGCTGCCCCACCGGAGGATCCCAGGGCTGCGTTGCCTGCTGCTGCACTGCTCTGGTCTGAGCTGCGGTGGTGAAGCAGCACTTTGCTCCTGGCTGCTCCCCCTGCCAGGCACGTGGCCAGGGCGAGTGATTTAATCTGAGCTGCGGCTGTCGTGACCTCCGCTGGAGAACTCCTTTTTCTTTCCCCATTGCAGTGCTGCCAGCACGTGGGCACACTTCCAGCAGTTGAGCTGAATGCGTTCAGCTTACGGGTATGAAATAATCGCTCTGGCTAATTTTAACGAGAAGGAATCCGGCTCAGTGGGGTCCTGGGCTCTGCCTGGGACAGGCGGGCTCTTGAGCAGCCCAGCAGCAGCTGCTAAACCCAGAGGGTGCCTGGTTTGTAACAGGGAGATTGGTTTGGATGGGAACAAAGTGAGGCAGCTGAATGAGCTGCCCCTGAAAGCATGCGTTGGTGTCACTGGTATGAGCCATTGATCCAAAATGGGTTTACAGCCAGCAGACAAAGCGTAGATGTGTACACAGTGTGCAGGGGGGGGTCATGCTTGTTCCTCCCGGCTGCTTTGCTTAGTAAGTGATTTGCCTTGAGATTGCCCCCAAGAAAAAAAGAGATTAATAATCATCATCATCATAACCTGCGGAGGTGATGTTTCTTCAAATGTTCCTGGAATGTGGTGTTTTGTACTGCAAAGGACTGGCAGTCTTGGCTTTGGAAAAAAAAAAAAGTTGAATCGCTAGCAAAATAAGAGGAAAAAAGATCCAAATTTCTATTTTATGATGGGATTGCCCCAGCATTTCCAATCTGTGATACACTCAAGTGTCACATCTGGGAAGGCATTGGGTGCTAATGAACCCCTGCGTTCTCTCACTGTGAGCCACTGTCGGAAGTACAAGAGGGGATGAAAGGAGCCCAGAAACAGAACTGTTGTTTGTAACGTACTGGAAAATGGACTCTTTGGTATGCAGTAGTTAGAAAGTATGAAAGTATGCCTGGCGATGTGCCTGCCTTAAAAATAGCCATTTGTTCTTCTCTGACCCAGTAATGTATTGTCTCTAACCCATCTCCGTCATTTCAATGTAAATCACAGCAAAAGCAAGCTTCCACGTGTGTGGCCTGGAGCATCGCAGGCCCGCCCTTGCCCGTGATGCTTGCTCGAGAGAGGCTCCAGACGGGGCGCCAGCCTCTGCCCCGCAAGGCTGCGCTGGAGATCAAGGCGGCACCACCGTTCATCTCGGAGCAAGGATCCGCCACCGCTTGCTGTGCGTTTTACACAGGCCAGGCGGCTCGCAGGTACTTACGCAGGCACAGCATCCCCTGTCCGCCCGGCCGGTCTCCCAGCCACTGCCCCTCGTAGGTGGAGCCGTCTCCGTAGCACATCCGACCCCAGCCGCTCCTCTGCCCGCTGCTCCACTCGCCTTCGTAGCGCTCCCCGCTGGGGTAGAGCATCGTCCCGTAGCCCTGCACAGCAGCAGAGGAGTTGCTCAGGAGCCTCTCTATCAAAACGTGTTGGTGTTCAATTCTGGGGCATTAATTTCTTGGTATGCTGCTCCTTTACTTACTACTGTTAGATACAGCTGACGGCAGCCTATTTCAACCTCTGTTTATGTGTTGCAGGAAATGAGAGGTGATGCTATGGGATTTCGTTGACCGATTATCAAATTCCCATAGCAAAATCTCAGGTCTGTATCTCAGTGTATTGTTTTTGGCATGACTGCCGCTAATTGGCTAAAAGCAGGTCTGACTGTTCGACAAACCTGGGGATGCACCACCAGAGTGACGTGGCTCTCCCACTGGGATGTGATGTCCCACAACAGGGCTGATGTCTCCTGCAGTCTGCAGCATCGCAGGCTGGCAGCCCCTTCCCAGCCCGGGGCAGGCTAACAATCTCCAGAGCCACTAATAATGGATTTTGCTCCTGCTGCATCCGTAAACACAAACAGCTCTCGCTTCTCAGACCATCTCTCAGCTCACTGCTGGTGTACATTTGATCAATGAACTTCTGAATTAAGCCTACTAGGTGTGTGTGAGCTGGAAACCTCAGGGAGGTGTTTATCTCGTGTCTGTGTTGGCCAGGTTAGAGACTTCCTCGTCACGGGACATCATACCACTGAGAAATATTTACGTGTTATTAAGGAGTTTTCCCATAGGACAAAAGCAGTAATTGACCTTTTGGGAAAAAAGAAAAAGCTGTGTCAATAGCTGATTCTTCAGAGCAGTAATTCTATTAAACTTCCTGGATGCAAAGGGGAGGATTTTGTAGAAGAAAAATAAATAAAAATACTGTTGTTTGGACGTCAGTGTAAATGTTTTGCCAAAACTCAATCATCCAAAGTACATTCCCAGGGAATGAGGGAAGAAGCTCCTGCAAAGAGGCTCAAGCCGTGGAGCTGCACACCAATTAGAAGCACGAGAGCAGTGGACGCAAAGGCAAACATAAGGCTTCCATTGGCAGATCAGAAAATCCTGAAAGGATTGTGCTCATAGGATTGCAGTTGTTTTTACCGGATGACTTCCTCATTGTGCTTCCTGTAGAAAAGCTGGTGATTTATGTCACGGGCTCAATTCCCAACATAACTTGTCTTTTTTGCTTAATGTGCTGTAAAACTTGCAGCACGGTGCTTCTAAGCTGGTTTTTCTCACAGCACTTGCAGTGCATGCTCTGTGGACAAGTTCCTCCTGTGCTGCAAGCGTGCTGGAAGCACGTCAGTGTTGGGGTCAGCATGCATTCATACATGGACACATGGCCTGACCCTCCTGTGCTGCAGGGACCGGGGGATGGGGAGATGGGTGCTTCCTGCTGGAGTCTGTGGGCTGTGCAGTGTGATGGATGTCACCCCTGGAACTTCCTGAGCTTTCAGGAGGGACAAGCCCGTTTTTAAAGCAAACCCAGGCCTGAAGGCTGGGGAGGGCAGGCAGGTGGCTTTCCCACCGGGAGAGGGCTTCAGCACGAGAGCTCTTACTTTCATTTCCTTGCTTCACATACTCATTTCCCCCAAACCCTTCTGGACCTTCAAGCTGGGGGCCTGGTGCCATTTGAAAAAAGTCAGTATTTTAAATGATTGTTTTGCATGTTTCAAGGCAGGTGCAGGAAATCTCACTTACACATTTTTTGTCGTTCCTCCACCAGCCTGTGTACACCTTCAGGTACTCCTTGGTCACGGGGTCAGGGATGCTGTACGAGCCGTACCCGTCCCGCTTCCCAAACTTCCAGTCGCCGCTGTAAATAGCGCCGTTGTGCTTCCAGATCTGGGTGCCTTTACCTGTTTCAGTCAACAGGGATTGCAGGGAGATGATCACGATGAATAGGAGAATGTGTGATGCTTAATGATTATACCATAAGCCAGTGTGTTTCGGTGCTGGCAGTGCAGCATCCCTGCTTTTTGGGCTGTCTGTGCCCTGGGTTATGCTTTCCCTGCAACCCGTGTGCTGGGAGCTGAGAGCACTGAGAGCACAGTGCAGCTGTGGGTGCGTGGAGCTGACTGCAGCACGCTGTGTTCAGAGCATTTCTAACATCTGTGGCCTAGATGTCTCAGTAGCAGCCCTGCAGCTGAGCGCACACTTCATTACCCATTAGAAATATCTGAGCACATTTTTGCACGGCGTTGCATCGAACACATGCTGCTGTACATGGATGAACACACACAGCCACTGACTGACTGCTCCCTGACGCCCTGAACTTTTGTAAAGATGCCTATGTTGGTGCTTTTCTCCAAATGATGGATCTTACCATGTTTTAAGTTGTCCAACCATTCTCCAGTATACTGATCCCCATTTACAGCATAGACTGTATGTCTTAATCCATCTTTCTGTGCTTTCCTGTCCCATTCATGCCAGAGAGGCTCTGCAGCCCTGGGGTATTTCACAACAGGCATCGTGTTCTCAGCTGGAAGGGAAAACAAAGATTGTCAGAAATGAATTAGGGAGAAATTACAGAGGCAGGTACTGGTAGAACGGTGTGTTTGTAAGCTTACTTTACTGTGCATCTGAGCCAGTAATTGAGGTCTGGGTTTGATATCTATCAAGACGCAACAAACAGAAGGTATCTAAAAATACCAATGTACGAAACAGCTCTATCTGAAAATAGGCTGGTAGCTTGTTGGGAAATGCTAAGTAAGCTGCAGCAGGATGGGGCTGTGTACCTTCAAGAGGACTTTCGGACACCAGGGAAGGTCAGACCCGTCCTGGCACAGCAGGAACACAGCCGATCTCCTTCCTAAGGCTGCTCCTCTGCCTCCACGTCAGCAGGGTGCGCTCACTGAAGCACATGGCAAAATTGTATTTTAGGAAATATCTCACTGCCAGGGAGTACAATCTAGTACCTTAGATAAATCGAGTATCTTAGAAAACGAGTCGACATTCACCCTTAGCTCTCTGCTTGATGATTCAAAAGTTATTTCGTGTCTAACCACTGCTAACAAAAACCATTTTTGTCCGTGACGACCAGTGAGCAGTGTTGCTGTGTATCGCGCTTCCCGTCTCGCTCCTCACCAGCGGTGCCGGGCGGCAGCAGTGGGAAACGAGCTCATTGTGAGCTCAGCGCAGGACGTTCCCAGCGAGGCGGCAGTGGGTCGGGAAAGCCCTCCTGCAGACGAGCCGTGCCTCCCGACCGCCCGGCCCAGCCGCCCCGCGGGCACCGACCTGCAGGGGAGCGCAGCGCTTCCAGCCACCGCTGCGGGCATCGCCGAGTCGTCATAGCGACGCTGCCAACGCGTGCGCGGAGCGAGCGGGAGCAGCGCCGGCTGAGGGCGGCCCGGAGAGCCTACAGGGAATGGGAGCGAGTGCTGCGTGCTGCGCGTGCGTGCGGCGGTGTGTGGGTACGGCGCAGTGCTGGGCAGACTGGCCCAGCTAGGAAATACTGGTACAAAAATATGTTTCCCGTTATGAAGAATGAGAGAAAGGTGTTCGGGGGGATTTCTTCACGCTCTTTCACAAATGTGTTCAGGGTTTGTGCAGAGCCTGAGAACCACCGGACAGCGAAGGCACGGGGCTGTGGAGCAGGGCAGGGATTGGGGGGAACCCACAAAGGAGAAGAAAAAATGCCTATTGCAGCCCCAAGGTTACAGCCTTGTATTACGAGCACAAACGGGCCCTGCTGGAAAAGCATTAATTATCTTGAATTAATTAATCTTGAATAATTCAGCCACTGTATTGCGCTGCAGTTAACTGAGAATCTGTCAGTTCCATTCATTAATTACCCAACTCAGACAATTGCACGTGTTTATTTTTAACCAGTGCAGCTTGTGCACGGATTTAAGAAAAGCAAGCCCAAAGTGTGTCACCAATCCACAGCTTTGGGCAAATGAAAGGCACAGGTATGTATGTATATGTTTGAAATTCAGTATTTACTCTAAGCTGCTTTGGATGCAATAAAGAAAAGAAGATAATTAAGCAAATCAAGATTCACAGATTGGGTTCTTACCCCTTTAATGCTTAGAAAAAGCACAGAGGCAGATGTAAGCAAAGCCAATGGCAATGAGAATAATAGACGAGTACGAGCTGCACACAACTCAAGAGCTCTGTTAAACAGAACCAAAGATGGCCTGGGAGGGTCGGCCTGTCCTGCTGAGGGCTGATCCTCAAATGAGTGACAAATGAGTGGCACTATATTCAGTAATTCTTACTATACTGTATTACAAACCTTTCTCTGAGTTCAGGTTTGGACAGTAGCCCCAGTGTGCTGAACGGAGCGATGGAGGTGTTGGGGTGCAGGCAGGACTCGGCCGTGTGTGCAGCGAGGTCACAGGACACACCGTGGGCTTTAGTTTTTGTCTTTTTTCAGTTTAAAAAGTGAGATTTTATTTTGTTGCTGTTATTAAATGAACCCAAAGGACTTCGGTGCTCTACAATATCTGAAACCAATCATTTCTGCAATAAAAACACAGCTGCTCTGAGCTGAGATTGCTCTCACAAAGCAGAGGGAATCACCAAAGTGAAATGCCCAAACCAACTGAAAACTGTCAGAGCCAATAATACGAGTTTGTTCCGGGAACTCTGTAAATATAGGAAAACACTCAGAGAAACATATGCTGGAATTCTTTAAAGGTGAAGAATGTGACAACGACATCCTGTGAAAGCAGGATGCTCAGATGTGTGTTTGACTGCTGCTGTGCTCCATTTAAAACCCAGAGGAAGAGGTGGCAGTGTCCTGGACCGTAACAAACGTGTGTCAGCTTTGGCAAACCAGCAGTGGGGGCAGCACTCACAGCTTTTCCCCACGGGTGTTTTGAAGAGTTATTGTGAACAGGATTTAGGAGATGTAGCAGTAGAAAGTTTGAGACACAAATTCCACGGGCTGATTTTTGCTTAGAAGACAGCCTTGCGGGAATGCCTTTCTTTCCATCTCTTTGCTGTGAACAGCTCTCTCGAGATAAAGATCGTGTTGTTTTTACATCCAGACAATCTGAGGTCAGATCTGTGGGTTATCTGAGATGCCCAACCACTCGCATATCCATGCAAAGTGCCATGTTTACCAGAGAGCTGCTGCAGCTGCTGCCTGCCAGACAGCCTTTCCCCCCGAATTTCGTTTGCTGCAGATTTACAGCTCATTGTCTCTACCTGAGTACCTGTGACAGCACCGCTCAGGGATTCCGATGTTAATCAGAGAAGTCGCCCGGAGCGGAGAATTATTTGCTGTGCAACCACAGAGTGCCCGCAGGACCCTGGGCGCTGCTTTAAAACATGCAGATCACAGGACGATGATGAAGGCAAAAGTAATTCGGCCGTACTTGAGATAATGCCTCACTTGTTCCAAGTCCTGAACGGAGGAATAAATCCCGATTACACGATGAGATCAGCAGCACCAATTCCCCGTAGAAACATGAGTTAGAATGTTTCATTTGTCATGGCTTACAGTCACCTGGTGTTAGAATTCGTATTTTATCCTTTCCTGTTTGCACTGCTGGAAAGAATTGGTATTTGTAAGACAAAGGAAAAGAATCGATGGGAGCAGACTCAGTTATCACAAGAGAACAGAATGAATGCAATCTGTGTTCAGGAGTCCGGCAGGCAAAAGAAAGGAGCTCACATCTGACTGTACCTGCATTACTGCAAGTACTCCGACAGAAGTTAACATCAGAGGAACAGACACAACTGCTGTGATCAGACACAACTGCTGTGATTGAATTATTAACTCAATGTTTGATATGTTTTCTGGCAGTGATGGTTGACGACTTGAGGACCATTAAAAGTAAAGGCAAAACAGATTTTCTATTGACAGATTCGCTTTTCAAAGGCCTGCCATTAAAAAAGATGGAAAGTTAGAGTTGCAAGAACCTAAAAACTTTAAAATCTTCAAGTTCAGGGGAAATGCAGCATTCCTCACGCATTGACACCCAAAGGTCCGTTTCACAGCCTCAAACCCAGAGCAGCTGCGGGCTCCAGGAACCACAGTGATGCAGCAACACTTGGGAGGCAGGGGAGGAACGCTCACCATTCTGACCATCCAGCACTGGTTGCTTTCTGTACATTTCCGACATTTTTAGTAAGCTGTGTTTAAGGCACCATGTCAGGGATGCCACAAACCCTCTTCAGGAGCCTCTCTGGCTGTTACACCTGCACGGCCTGTCTGTGAAATGATAAACGGAATCCAAGCCTCACCTGCGGCAGTGCTGAGGAATGGTGGGGAGGTAAGGATGCATCCTAGAGATGGTTGTGGAAAGCGCACAGGATGGGAATGGCTGGCCGCTGACTGAGCTGCACGAGTGGTTTGTCCAGCGGGCCGACAGGAGAAATAGAAAGAATAGAAAGAACGGAGGCTCTCCTGAGATAAAGCAGGCTCCAGAAAACACGGCAGCCTCAGGGACAGCTGGAGGAATTCACCTCACCCTCTGGCTGAGCCGCGGGACCTGTCTGTAACACCGGGCAGGAGAGGAAAGGTGTGGAGAAGCCAGGAGTGGCATTTTTTAATATGCTTTTCTGCAGCAGAATGTCAGAGCGGGACCCGTCCTGCAGGCGGAGACGGGCAGCGTCCCGCACAGCCGTGCTGAGCGCAGCCGGTCCCCCTCACACCTGCACAGCCCCACACGCCGCTGCGCGCGCCGACCTTTAGCGGCCGTTACCTCAGGAGGGCGCGCGGCGCGCCGATGGGCGGGGCGCGTCGCGTCGCCTCAGCCCCGCGCGATGACGTCAGCGGCGCACGTGGCCGCCGGGCCGGGCTGCGGGCTCGCGCCTCTCTCGTCCCCCCGGCCCAGCGGCTCGCGCCACGCCGCAGTGCGCCGCGCTATGAGGGTGCAGCTGGAGCGATGCTGCGGGGAGTGGCGGGAGCTGGACGAGGAGTTCCGGCAGCTGCAGGTGAGGCGGGGCCCGGGGCGGCTCACCGCGCGCCGCCTGCGGGGGTCCCGAGTCCCGCGGGCGAAGGCGCGAAGCGGGGACGGAGCGCGGCGGGCTCGGGCGTGCCGCGACCTTCCGAGGGCCGCCGGCTCCTTTCCCGGCGGTCCGGCGTAGAACGCGGCGAAACGGCGGTGTTCGCTCCCGGCCCGGCGTGCCGCTCCGCGCCGTGCTGCTGGCGGCCGCTGGCTGGTGGTGCTGCGGCGGAGGAGGAGCGAGATCCCCGCGAAGCGTCCCGCTCCCGTCCCGCTGCTCAGCCCGCGCTCCGCAGCCTCTCTCCCCGGCGGAGTCCCGCGGCGCTCCGCACATCCTCGTGGCTCCGGCAGCTCCGTCGAACGCCGCGGGTTGGAGGCCCGGCTCTAAGCGGGAGCGCGGAGCTCCTGAGCCGCAGCGGGCGCAGCTCCGTGCTCCTGCAGTTATTCCAGCAGTGTCCAGTCCCGCTTCCCATGCGCTCCGCTCTGTCTCACTCGATATCCGCACGGCTGGCTCTGGTCGGGGCCTCCTTCCCTCCCTTGCAGCGGAGCGGGGCTTTGCGCGGCCGTCGGTTTGGGGCACGCCGGCGCTGGGCTGCGCTCCTGGGAAGAGGTTTGGGCAGCGGCCTGAGGCGGCTCGGGGCTGCTGAGCATCGCGGTTTCGGGTGTTGCTGTAAGCTGCTAACGGTGCCCGTGGCACCTCTGCCTCCTGTGGGAGAGCGGCTGTTGCCCCAAGCTCTTAAATTTGGGGCAGAAATGCCCCCTGGTGTGTGGGACTTTCGTTTTTCAATGCGTGCTTACTACGTGGAGAGAGCTGTGGCCAGACCCGGCTGTCTGGAATGTGGCTGTGGGCTGTCTGTGTTAGCAGCTGCTGGGCCCCTTGTCGTGCAGCCACTGCTCTCGATGAATAAGGATCTTCCCTATGTCCTAGACTTAATGTCACTTTTAAGTCATTATCGTGATGTTTTTGGCTAATGGCAGTATTTACCAGTTCTCAATTGGCATTTCCAATAAATACCCGAATGCTTTTTTTTGAGCAGCTTCTTGCCCCCTTTTAGCCAGCCTTAGAGAATAAACTGTTGTGTGACATCCAGAGGAGCAGAATGAGTTCCTGTGCAACCCAGAGAGCCCTCAAAATGCTGCCAGTTAGCCAAGCTGCACCAGTGGTGGTCGCTGAGGTCCCTGGACGTGGTTAGTTTGGTCTTTAAGGCTTTCAGGTTGGATGGTGGAGTCTTATGGCTTCCATAAATTATGAACAGAAGAGCATAGATCTGTTTTGTTTGGTCTTAGTGCTGCTTTTATGCTTCAGAAAAAAAACAGTGGTAATTTTCTATGGTTGTTACCTGAGATGTGCTAAGGAGATAAAGCAAAAAGCCTCTTAACCCCTGCATTGCCTCCTCAACACTGACTGCAAATTGCCTTCTGAGTTGTTATAGCTCTTAAAATTTATTTTTCTCCTTAAACCAGAGCTAATATTGAACTTCCACATGGCAATAAGGCATCTGGCTTGCAGAGGGTCCTGATGCAAACTGTGACGTACCCAACTAGGTGTTCAACTTGTACAGGTTTGTTTGTGGTGTGAAATCCACATCAGATTTATTTGCTAACCAAGCCCTTGCGTACCTTGCTGCCATTTCTGAGAGGGCTGAACATAGGATCCAGTACCTCCTGGGCCTGTTGCATCTTTTCTTCTGCTGGATGAGCTGGGGCTTGGTTCCTGATGTGCTGGAGGCTCCAATGTGGCTGTGCTGGAGCAGAAGTAGGGCTTGGGGTGGCTGTGGTGGTCAGGAGGTTTGTCTCAGTGCCTGGGTTTGGGTTGTGGTGATTTCTCTGGTTTCCACCTGGGACCTCAACTCCTTTCCTCTTTTTTTTCCCAGCTTGAATGGCTGGGAGATCAGAGTTCCTGCAGGTTCTCCACATGTTTGATGGGAATGATTTGGGATCAAACCAGAGAATAAGGGCTTTATTACAGGGTCTGCTAGGAGCAAGGAGCTTGTTAGAAAGAGAAAATGAAGTGAATGCAGAGAAGATGGATCAGGAATTTTGTTAGTGTCTGTTTAAGCTGGTTTGCTTTGCCCCCTTGGTTTTCTGCCTGTAATGGAGCAGTACAGGAATCCCCCTTCCTCAGGTGCCTGTTGGCTCCCAAACACCAGGCTTGCTTTCCTCAGACATGAGGACCAAACACAATCGCCCAGAAGAGTTCTTCCTACTGAACCTCTCTTTTTCTCCTGTAGGAAACACACAAAGTTTACAGGCAGAAACTGGAGGAAGTCACCAGCTTGCAGACAGCCTGCAGCAGCTCCATCCACCGGCAGAAGAAGACATTAAGGGACCTGAAGCACAGCCTGCAACGGTAACAGGAGGTCTGAAGGGTGGAGGAGGCAGGGATGGGATGTTTCTGCTTCCCAAACAGCAGAAGGGTTTGGATTTTCAGCAGTTTAATATGTGGTCTGCATCATGGTGGCAGTTTTGCTTCATATGATCTTGAGTTTACCTCCTTTGTTACAGCCAGGTAAATTTTTTTGTAACCACATGAGAGATCAAGTCTTATAAATGAAGAAGATCCAGTAAGTCTTTGAGGGAGCCTGAATGGATTTGCATCTTTGCAATAGGTCTGCTGTGGTGTGGGACTGTACAGCTGTTGGTCTGTATGTTTTGCCAGGTGAGCAAAGCTTTGCTCCATAAACTGTGCTGGCAGATCCAGTTCATGGACTGATGCTGGCGGTGTAACCACCCTACGTGGGTTTATAGGAAGGAACTGTTCCTGGCTGCTCAGCTGCTTGCTGAATTCCTTGTGTGCAGATCCCAGGCAATGCTGGTTGCTAACCCCACTGCTCTGTTTTACATGAATTGGTAATGCTGCGGTTTGCCAGTGAATCATCAGTTGTGTTTTTTTGTTACAACCTGAAATATCTTATGCTTGAATAGTTGCAGCATCAATGAAAACCTCTTGCGGGGTTGGGCCTGGCTGAGACTTCTAAACCAACACTGTATCTCATCCCTCTTAGGCCAAGAGGTAAAATTTGGGGTCCACAGGAGGGCTCTCAGGGATGCAGCGTGGGGCCTCTGCTCTATTCTTTTTTGTGTGTTGTGCATGGTGGTGGTGTCTGCAGGCAGACAGCTTGGGGGGGGTTTGGAGAGCTGGTTGCTGCAAATGTGGCTTACAGATCCCTTCTCTGCAGGAAGAGCAGCAGTGGTGCCAGGTGGGGCCACGCAGAGCCCTCCTCTCATACAGCGCTGCCCAGCTGCACTCCTTGCCCTTCCTAAAATACACAATTTCAGCAGAGGGGAAGCAGCAAGAGAAATGAGCCACGGGACCCTTCTCCACCTCGTTGTCTTCCGTCCAAGCTACCATTGATTATGGAGGGGCTGCACTGACCTTTCAGTTTAAATGAGTTTGACATGCTTTCACTGGTGGCTCTGGAGGGTGTGTGAGGTCATTTCTTTTGTTTGTTTCTGAAGGCTGTACAGTGAGCTTTTGTCTTTCATGAGAAGTTTATGGTGTCTTGCTAGGATCAGTTTGGATGCTGTAAGGGCAGTGCCTGAGATGCATACAAACTTCCCAAAGTGGAAGGAGCTCCTACAAAACTGCATATTGTGTTTGAAGTGCTTTGTTTTGGAAGAGGTGTGGAGTTCTGTCGCTAAAGAAGCTGGTTTGTAAAACAGCCAGTTGAAATAACCTACAATGACAGATACCAGGTAATGAAACAATAAAAACAAGTGAGAACAGCACCGTGGCAGATGTTAGCTTTCTAACAGCATGCATTTTATGACTATAAAGTTGCTATCCTTTAAATAAAAGGCGGCAAAAACATAAAGGAAGATTTTGTTTTTATATTTTCACAGGTGCAAGCCCAGAGCTACTCCTGAAGAATTTGCTCTTATAGAGCAGATCAGCACCCAGATCAAAGAGAGGCAAAATGCCTTCTTTGACATGGAAGCCTACTTGCCAAAGAAAAACGGGTACGTGCTTCGTCAGAAGGGGCATGCGCTCTAGGAAGGCTGATTTTTAAGTGTTCACAGTGGTGTTCCTCCCAAAGGATAATGCGTGTATTGAAGAAATACATGTAGAACTGGATTAGTCATAGATCTCTTGCTGAGCTGCTGTGTCAGTTGTACGCAGAATTCATTAGCTGGAAGTGTATGTAAATGTACTGTGTAGGCACAGGCAGGTCTGCTTGATAAAATAGAAGTAAAACTGTACTGGCAAGAGATGAAGACTTCACAGTGAGTTGCACTCTGTGCTTTTTTATTTTTTGAAGACTCAATCAGTATGGGAAATTTCCCCCTTCCTGTTTAACTTTCTTCTCTCCAAATAGTGCTTTCAACTGACTTAAATTTTGTACTTTGCTTCAAGCGGGGTTGCTAGGACGGATTTGGTTCAGTTGTCAAGGGCTGTGCAGCTCTGGCGGTCAGGAGATGCTGATGCTGAGTAAACTGAGCCAAGGGACTTGATTTCTACCCTTGATTTGTTTGCTTTCTCCTTCCCAAGTCTGCATTTTCTGTGTCTGTACAGTGAGCTGAGCTTTCGGGTGGAAATGGTCTGGAGTGGGGAAGTGAAATGAAATCAAGGAGCTGGTAAAAGTGGCTGCAGCATTGGAGATGGAAGGATCCCTTGGAAACTTTTCTTCAGATTTCTCCATATAATTTATTTTTGGTTTCTGACATCTTACCCTTTGGCACAGCACAAAAAAGAGACCAGAAAATGAATTCTTCCTCTTTCTTCTTGGAAATGCTGACTGAACTTTCTGCATTTAAATCCTATTCTGTAGCCTGCATCTCCAGTTTGCTTTAACTAAAAGCCTACAGCAAAAATGTAAGCTCTGATGTGTGTTAGCCTATGGTGTCTATGGTAAATGGACTTATGTGGGTCTCTTGTTTTTTTTTTTTTTTGTCTTCCAGTTTATACTTAAATCTGGTGCTGGGAAACGTGAATGTAACCCTCCTGAGTAACCAAGCAAAGTGAGTGAGTGCTTCCTTGCACATACATCTCGGGCTAGCAGTGGGTGTATGCTGAAGTCCAGAGACAGGAATGGTTTTCTATTACATCTGGCTTGTCTTTTGGTTTGGCTTGTGGATTGTATCTGGTTTGAAAAAATGAAGCCATGTTCCAGTAAAACCCTGTGTGCACCCACTGATAGGTGACTTTTTGTGCTCTGTGCTTTGTACATTCCAGGTTCGCCTACAAAGATGAGTATGAGAAGTTCAAACTGTATCTCACAATTATCTTGTTACTTGGGGCCGTGGCCTGCAGATTTATTCTTCACTACAGGTAAGGCTGTTTTTTTTGTTTTTATTTTTGGTTTTGCTTTGACCAAGTGTTTTGAATAAAAATGTACAAGATTAGAAGCCAACTAATTTGAACTAATTGCCTGAGATGGTGAGATACAGGCTTTGGCAGTATTTAAGCTTTGAATAGTTGTGCTTCCCCAGCAGGAGATCATATTTTGCTGTTCTTCAGAGCAGGCAGGACATGTATTTTAGCTGCTTCCTTTTTCTTGTTTAATATTTTAGGAGTTTGTTATAACCAATAGAAAGTCCAGTGTGATGAGTTGTTTTTCTGCTGTTGCACTGTGCTTGAGAAAGAGTTTTTGTTTGCAAGTTGTCCTAGATTGGTATCAGCACCATGCAAACACCACATAAGGGAGCGTTTTCATTTTAGATGTGACTATTTGATGTGAGGTCTAGGCCATGACAATGCATCAATAAGCCTGCCCTGCTCAGTTTGCCTTAAAAAGCCAGTGAGGTGTTAGAGCTAAACCTTCCATTGAGGCGTCTGTGGATCGTACCCAGGATTGATGCTGTCATGTGCAGAAGCTGCTCCAGATCCCCATGGCTTTGGGGGACTGCAAATGGCAAAATAAAAACTCTTTTACTCTGAGAGTGTAATGCTCTTCTGTTCTTTTAGTTGATTGGATTTGTATAGATCTCATCGAATCTCCTCATTGAATTAGTCTGGAAATGCTTGTCTAAATTGGATCATCTGGTGCTTCCATGGTGCTTTCTCTCCTTCAGATGGAATTAATGTCATCTCTGTGTACCTGCTTATCGGCTCAAGATCTGCAGCGTTACATCACAGGGCACTTCCAGAGGAAAGGGCTGAGTGGGGAAGTGCTGCTGATACTTAGAGCTCTGCGTGTGGATAAGAGATGCCCAGGACTGGGGCTTTGTGTCCATGGCCTCACTTGAGCATGTTTTCATTCAGACAAGGGAACTGAGAAAATGGGGATTTTTTTGAAACGTGTTTTTATAATTAACAGGCTTTCTTATTACTGTGCTCTTTTTGTATTTTTACTTCTTTTTTTTTTAACAGGGTGACAGATGAAGTGTTCAACTTTCTGTTGGTGTGGTATTACTGCACGCTGACGATACGGGAAAGCATTCTCATTAGCAATGGATCAAGGTACTGTGCCACCTGCAAAGACTATTTAAAGCATGAAATGTCCTTAAAAGAAAAAGAAGCAATGAAAGTAGATTCAATTGGCACTGAATCCCAGCAAATCCAAGATGCTGATTCCTCTGTGCAGGATGTGTTGTCCCTGTCCCCTTCCCCAGTTTCTCCCAGGGGCACATGTGTCCATCAGGTTAGGGCAGGGAGGAGAAGATGCAGTTTCTAAAAGTCCATGATTTCTGTGTTCAAAGTATTGGATGGTTTTGAGAGCTGTGGGTTACTTGTAGGTGTGATCTGGAATTTCAGTGTGTTTCCACTGAAATGGCCAATCTGGATACTGACTTTGTGCCTTTTCTAATCTGAAGTACTGCCTGTAGGTATACTGGCATGCACTCACCTCTCGTGAGAAAAAGGAGCCAAATCACTGCTTTATGCTGTCTGGTCAGTGTGGCTGCCCTGCAGGTCACTGTGGTGTGTCCTGAAGCATTTGACTAATTACAGCTGTGTTAAAGGAATATTGGTGGTTAAGAGCAGACAATTGTATAAACATCTGGCAATGCAAGTTGAGTGCTGGGAGACGTATAAACTGAAAGATGATCTTCTGTCTGAGCCCTCATTTTTTTAATAATACCTCAAGTAAGAGTATCCTAAATTATTCTTTTATCTGGTCAGTCCTATCCTGATGGATTTTGGCAGTCAGCTTTGCTGCTCGTGCAGTATATGGGGTTATCAAGTGCACTCTGAGCATTAGTAGAGACTATCAGAGCAAGAGAATGTTGGAAGGAGAATTTCCTCCACCCCCAGGACTTCTATCTGGCTTAGTTGCACAGCCTCATGTGTAGCTGTCAAGGGGCTTGGACACTTCCTCTACCTGGCTGCCTACCTGGGGAGTTGGGGCTGGTGATGGTATGAGGACCGCTGGGTGCAGGTGAACCCGGAGTCCTTGCCCTGGCTGTAGAGTGATAAATCATCTACTCTGCCTCTTGCCTGCCCTCCAGGAGGCTCAGAGAACTTTACTGGATTTGCACTTCTGTAGCTTAACCTGGAATCTGGTGGTAGATTTTAGCAATAACCTGATGGTTGCATGTCCCCAGTTCTCATCATCCAGATAGGCTGGCACAGGGAATGGGGAAACCGCAGCAATCGCCTCATCTCTTCCCAGGTGTGATGAGTCTGCATGCGGGTTTGCTGCTGGGTGAGTGGCTGCTGCTGCAACATTTGCAGCTCCCTGTTGCATTAATTAATTAATTAGGCTTCTAATACCTCATTTTCTACCTTTCAAGCAATCAGCATTGAGTTAGTCCAGCTTTCTGCATGCGTTCCTGCTCTGAACGCTGCACAGATAACTTGTATGCTCCTTAGTAGCATAGCAGCTCAGGACTCCTTATTCCAGACAGTCCATTTCCTCTCCAAAATCAGTAGCCAATGTGTAGCCAATTTCTTCCTTAATCTCCTCTCAGCAGAGGTCAGAGGGAGCATTTTGGGGAGTCTTGTCTTGGCACAGAATGTCTGGTATCAGCCCTGGGTGGAGGTCAGGATAGAGATGGATGGACAACAGTCAATGTGTTCCATCCAGCCTGTGGCATTTGTGAATGAAAATGATTTCTGGGCAGTTCTCTGGTGTTACAGCTCCCTGCCCACTGAAAACAAGGGAGAAATCTTGGCACTGGCCATGGATCTTGTGGCCATGTCTGCAGGTGTGTGAGAGCTGAACATGGCAAGCTCCATGAAGTGCAAAAGAAAAGGGTGTGCAGAGATAGAAAGTGGCTTGCCCACTGCCAGCAGAGAAATCTCTGAACCCAGGCTTGTTGCAGCCACTGTGTTGGCTTACTTTCCAAATCAGTGCCATCCCTGAGGCATTTTTTTTTCTTCTTGACCCTGCCTCGCTACAGCTCTTTCCTGCTTTACTGTAATTTTCTGAGCTTTCTGCAGCATTCATGTCTGAAAAGAAACAGCAACTTAACAGAGGACTTCACTTATTTGCATGGCACAGGAAAAAAAAAGGGGATGTGGGCCAAAAAAACATCATGTGTTAGTCATTTAGGTACTGCTCAAGATGAACCTCAGTCGTGTGCCTCACTCCAGTCATCCCAGATTTGCAACCCAGTCATGGAGCTGCGATGGTGCCTTTCAGCTCCTGCCCTGCTGCTCACAGTGTCCCTGCCAACACTTACTTGTCCACGTGCTGCCTTTGAGGCTTTGTGCTGGGAAAAACAAAACAGGGGTGTACCAGGAGGTGGGATTTCTGGGGTTCCTCACTGCAGGGAGCACATGGGCAATGCAGGCAGCCTTGGCTGCCCCTTGGTGATTTCCCAGAAACTCCTTTGCTGCCACCAGCTTTATTTTTTGTTTGACTGGGCCATCTAGTTATCCATAATCCAGTCAGGATTAATTTTTGTCTTTAAAGCCAGACTTAAGTTGTTAACATTTATATTCCTCATCTAACCGTCTTATTTTTTCTGCTCAGGATCAAAGGCTGGTGGGTGTCCCATCACTATGTCTCCACGTTCCTGTCTGGAGTAATGTTAACATGGTGAGTTTGCCCTGCCCTGCTCGAGGTGCTTCCAAGTGTGTCACCTGAGCACAGTAATCCAGTGTGACCACGCACAGGCACATAGCAAAGAATCAAACTTGTCTGATCAAACTGAGCAAACAAGCAGCACTGTGCTTTTATAATGAATTCTGCTTATAACCCAGTACCTAAACCAGGTGTGAAGCAAAAAATGCTCGTTGCGTTCCAACAGATGATGGTGTTGGTCGAACAGCGCAGCAGTGCACTCTGTGTGGTGCCTTTATGATCCACTTCAGCTTTGACATGAACTGATCTGCTAACAATTTGTTTTAAAACAACACTGTTTTTGTTGCTGAATTTCTCAGGAGATCATACAGGAGCTGGAGCAAAAGTTCATGTATCCTGAACTACAGTTAAGAAAAGGAACGCAAGCAGTGCTGCTCTCTGGCTTAGATTTGTGATGCGGACTCAGCTGAATGGCTTTAATCAGTATCTGATTAGAGCAGGAAGCTGCAATAGGCAAATCAGTAAGAGGGGGCAGCAAGCCATCAGACCATCTCCTACCATCCACAGTAGGGTAAAGGATGGGCAGGATGTGGCAGGCAGTGATGTGTGCCTGTAGCATGCTTTCTGGATTCCCAGATGGGGTGGAGTGGGCTGGCTATCAGCTGCTTATTTCATTTACTAATGGGCTCCTTGGCTGAGCAAGGCACTGTATTGTATGCTGCTTAATCAAATAAATATTTCTTCTCTATTTTGCTTTCAGGCCAGATGGACTCATGTATCAAATGTTTCGCAGTCAATTTTTAGCATTTTCAATATTTCAGAGTGAGTATATTATACCGTGGTGTCTCATGAGATAAAGTAGTTTTCTTTTTTTGCTTAGAAAAAAACCACTTCCATTTGTTAAATACTAGAGTCATAAACTGTGCATGTATGAAGTGTCATACAACTGCAAAATACAATATGCAAGTTAAACAATAATACTATGGATTAAGCATTATTAAAATAGTTTTTGTGAGCTATTCAGAAGTATTATAAACGTATCAGTAATGCTTTCTCTCTTTCTCCAGGCTGTGTTCAGTTCCTACAATATTATTATCAAAGGGGCTGCCTGTATAGGCTCCGTGCTTTGGGGGAGAGAAACCACCTGGACCTTACAGTAGGTGAGGTTGCCTGCAATACTGCAGTACAGATGGGGTAGGTTTTAAAGGCAGTGATACAGAGGTGGCTTTGTGGCCTTCAGAAAGCAAGCTTTGCACAGCTGTTATTCCCAGTCCTGCTGCCTCTAGGACAAAGGCAGGAATGGGAGTGAGACTTCTGTTTTCTTTCTTGAGTCCTACGGGTTTGAAACAAGACTCTGATCTCCATCAGCTCTTGAGAGCATTAAGGTAGAGGTGTTCGTCTCCATTTTCATCCTTCTCCCGTTACAACAACTTCAAGACTTTATTTTAACCTAACTGGTTAGTGCTGAACAGGACAGGAATAGGTCTTATGGGATGATCTTGTTGGGATGAGCTGCAGCTACAGTCCTGTCTTATCCATGCTAACTTTCTCTTCCCTGTTAATCTTTTCCAGAAGGATTTCAGTCCTGGATGTGGCGGGGACTGACTTTTCTTCTTCCCTTCTTGTTCTGTGGACATGTAAGTTGGGCTGTCCCATTTCCTCCTCTGCCACGTGGGGGCTGGGGAGGGTGTGCTGGTGCTGCTGTGCTTCTTGCAGTTACATGGTGCTTTGGATCACACCTACCTGGCAAACATTTCTAAATCTTTGATAGTAATGATTCTTTTCTCTCTTAGTTCTGGCAGCTATATAATGCAATCACACTTTTTGGGTTGTCCAGGCATAAAGAGTGCAAAGAATGGCAGGTGAGTGTTGGTTCTGCTCAGAAAAAACACGGGAGGGGGGTAGGGATGTTTTGACCACATCTGTAAAGACATCTGGCTACCTGGATTTAACAATTTGATTTTACTGTCTGTGAGAGTCCATCGATGCTGAATGGCAGTAAGTTCACAAACAAACCACGCCGTAATATTGCTGCCAAGATGATCATGATCCAAATGGGCATCCCAGTTAACTCACAGAAGTAGATGTGTGGGTGCATATTTGTCTCCTGTCTTCTTTCCTGACTTGCTAACACATCTGTGAACATGCCAACCAGACTCCACTGCAGCTTAATTTAGTTGGTGAAAATACTGCTGCCCCAATTCATCTGACCCTTACTCAACTTTCCTCACCTTTCCCCCTCAGGTTTGTGTGCTGGCTTTCACATTTCTGCTGCTCTTCCTTGGGAACTTCCTCACTACTCTCAAAGTGGTGCACACTAAGCTGCAGAAGAACAAAGACAAAATGAAGAAACTGTGAACCCTCCAGGGGGTGCTGGGTGCCAACACTGGAGCTCGCTGTCCCTGTGCGCACAGCAGGCGCTCGGCGTTGGACGGAGCTCCTTAATTGCTGCTGCATTGTGAATGGACTCTGAGGAACTCATCTGTCCCGTGTTTGGTGAAGGATGTGGGCTCTTCCAGCACAGACTCAGCATATTATGCAAGCATGGCTCTCCAGTTTACAGTCCTGCTATTTATGTGTATTTAATACCAAACGTGTTTGCATTGGGTTTTTCTGTATATTTAGCAGCATGCACCTGCTCGGCAAGAAACCAGCATTGAGAGAATGTGGGATCTACTGTAATTCCAGTCCTGGAATGATATTTAACACTTTCCAGTTTTATTATTTAAACTCTAGTATGGAATTTTGCAAAGCTTTATGAACACTCCAGGTTGATCAGTAATACAGACTGAATGCTGTTTTTAAAAAGCATTTGTTTCAGGCATTTTCAGTGGCAATACTAATCTGTGTGTACTGTGGAAAAATGCCCATCTTTGTACCATATTGCTGCTATATACACTTCTAAGAAGCTATTTAAAGAAATCTTCTTAAAAACAAGCAAGCAAAACCAGTTGTTAAATGGCAGGGAATTCTGCTAGCCCTCTTTGAGAGGGATCAGGTAATCTGTCCAAGCCTGGAAAAAAACTTAAAATAAACCATACAATATGCAGCTGCTTCAGCCCCTTCTTAGTAACAAACACACTCCCCACTCCCCTTTGGGTTGTCTCTTGAGGCAGAGTTTTTCCAGAAAACGCTCTTGATCAGTGGCAGTAAGTGCAGTTGCACTTCAGGTCCTATTTGCAGTTTTGTTTTCTTTTTTTGCTCCAGTGCTGTTCTGAGAGGTGAAGACAGGCTAAGAAGTATGAAATATTTTCATTAGGTACCAGTTGTTAAGAGAATGTAAATACTTGTTCAGAAGGATGGCTGAGAACGAAAAGATTCCCATCTTGCTTAACTCCTCGTGCTTTTTGAACTTACTCAGCTGAATAAGCTTGTTTGAGTGCTGTAACATCTGTGCCTCCTGAGCTGCTGTATGCAGTGTGCTGCTCAGCTGTGCTGGCTCCCTCTGAGCTAGCCCAGGGCCCAACTGGAGAAGTGGCTTTGGCAGAATGATGTGAGAATTGTGCCCATCTCCCAGTGAGCATGCTCATGAAGAAATACTTACGCACTATGGACTTCAAATATTTCAGCAGTTATTCTGTTGCTGCAAGGCTGGTGAATTTATCCTTACAGTGTCACCGTTGTGTGGGCACAAACACTAAATTGCAATTTGCGTATTTTGAACAATTTTTACTCTAGCTGGGTTGTATCTTGCACACTGTGTGAGGTTGTTTTTTGTCCTTCTTAGAACTCCATTTATGAAATGTAAATTCTTCTGAGAGCAATGCTAGAACCTGGCTCTGTGCAGTCACCTGGTACTCAAGAGGTGAGGGAACACTGTTTAGCAAGTAACTTGAATTCTGCAGCATGAGAAACTGGGATTATAAAAGCAAGGAAAGATTCCAGACATGCTGAGGGTAAATCAGCGTGAAGATGTTTCAGACTTACTGGGTAAGGTGGTGTGTTTTTTGTTTTATTGTTTCATAATCCCTAAGCTTGTAATTTTAACCTTGGATCACTTTTGTTGATTCAAAACAAGTTACGGGGAAATAAGAGTTTAGATTTCAAGGATCAAGGTTTTATCCTGCACGTAAAATGATAACGATGGCTCATTCCAAAACAGGTTTTCACCAGCAGAGGATAAAATTGTGTGGAAGCTGAATGATGTGTAGTTACCAGGCTCTACATTGAAGCGTTTTCTAGTAACCAGCACCCGTTATGCACTGCCCAAACATCCTGGCAAAGTATTCTCTTGTTACTGTAAAGCAAGACAGAATCAGAAAATCATAGCAGTCCTGTACATTCTCCCTTAGTTTGCCTCAGAAACAAAACTTGTGTAACAGTTGTACTGCAGAAACCTTCACCCTCACAGGGCTTGCTGATGATGCCTGCAAACTAGTGATTGCTCCTGAAACTTGAGATCTCACTGGAAGAGAATGTGCAAAAGAACTGGGAGGCTCAAGGCACGCAAACTAGATTGTTCAGCAGGAACATCCACCATCCTTAAACACTCAACTGTCACTTTCATCACAAAAGGGAAAATTTAATTTACAGTAGCAGAGATGATTTCACCAGTTGATGAACGTGAGCTACAAAGCATTTTACTCTCCCTAGCACACGAGCATTTGCATGTCATATATTAAATAAGCTATATATATGAGTTTATTGCAAAATGGACTTGTTACACAGAGTGGCTGACTGGTGTACTGGTAACTTTGCATGCTGTAAATTAAATATTAAATATCGGAGCAAGCAATGCATGTATCCAGCGATGCATACCAATGCTACAGTATTGCATGTTGCAAGGAGACCTACAGGGGCAGCTCTGCAAAGCTGGCCTGGGAGTCAAGAGGGAGTGAGTGGATGCTTTGGCTGTACACTGGCAGCAGCTTGATGCTAACTCACACCACTGCCACCAATTAAGTTGGGAATGTCAATAGAGAACTTAATTCCTGCTTATTTCATGGTGTCTGGTACGTAGGCTGCTCTATCAAAACTTTGGAAGGATGTTTTTTGCCTGAAAAAGACTAAATTGTAGCTACAATAAGCCACGGTTTTGCAGAGGAAAAAAACAAGCCAACAAACAAGACAGTCGTGCAGCAGCAGTCACTGTTCACTTCAGATTAAATGGTGAATCCAAGACCAGACTGTTGGTGGGCTTGCTGGTAAGAGCAAAAGCCAGGTGAATGTGTAGCATCAGGTAGCCTTGATAAAGAGCCTTGAAAACTGTGAGAGCAACGTGGCAAAAGGTTTTAAATGTAAAAAAGAAAAAAAAAAAGTTTTTTTTTTTTTTAAACCCTAGAAAGTATTAAAATTTTAAAATACAAATCATTGCAGGAATACAAAATTGTCTTGGGGGGAAGAAGGAGTTGTCACTCTGTTGTTAAACTCAAGTAACTTGGTTCATAGCTGTCAATGCTCTCTTGCAGTCCAGATCATAACACTGAGCATGCTCTCTGCTTCTTTTGGCGCTTGGCTTTTTTCATGGCACTCAATGCAATAGTTGTTGCTTCTTTAAAAACCTTTTCTATGTTTTCACGGCATTTTGCTGAGCACTCCAGATAAATTTCTGCATTTATCTGCTGGCAAGCAGCTTCACCCTGGAAAGAACAGGTAAGAAAAGTCAAAAACCTGATGCGTGAGAGGAGAAAAGGAAGGTGAGATGGAAGCAAAAAGAAATTTCTTTGTATATCTCCAAAACGTGAGGTCATCTTCCAAAAGAAACTGCCTCCTGTGAGCACAGTGCTAGCTAAGTGTGTTGGTTATAAACTGAAGTATCGTTGCTGGTTTTGTTGTTTTTTTTTCCTAAGTTGATCTAATATTGTAGAAATAGCATTTCTTTAATAGATACTCGAGTGAAGCTATCTACAAGGAGGATCTTTTTTCAGGTATGACATGCGATGTCGTGTTTAGTTTGCAAGCCTCAGCACTGCACACCACATGCAACAGTAAGGTCTGGACTAAGGTCTTGCTTTGTTTTGTTGGTGCACATGCAGGAGTCCTGACTGCCATTTCGAAGCATGACAAAGGCTCAGCAGAAGTCCTACTACATGCAGATGAGTGCCTACAGACATCATCACCCAAATGCATGCAGAGGAAACAGTAGAATCTAAAACATTTGCATGCAATCAAGGTGGTGTGAAATCACTACAGACGAAACACAGCTACTTCTTACTTTGCTTGTGATCCTTTCATTGCAGTCAGCCCCCAGTTTTGAGTGCTTGTGAGCCTTTGAGTGTGAATTCCAGATCTGCAATCCACAACTCACAAACTCTGCATTTAGTCATAAGCTGGGAATGGGGTCACTTGAGCACTCAGACTTCTACACACGGGCATTTTCCTTCAGCACATTCAAGTGAAGTTTGTTTCCTTACAGTTGTTTGCAAGCTGCAGTGCTGACAGATACTATTCAGCTCCTCTGTGCCTGGCATCAGAAGCATCACATTGCATGACTCGATGCTCTCAGCTGTAAAAGACTGAGGTAGTGTATGTTTAAAGGGAGAAAAAGGAAATGGAGAACTCTACTAGGCGACAAAGGGAGTCTGGGCTGGTGAGTTTCGCCTCTTCTGTGAGCGTTCATGTGATGAGCTGCTGGAGGGAGAGTCTGTTATGTGTGTACTGTTCTGAGGCAGTAATCGTGCCAGATGTGAGGCCCCAGCTGACTCCACAGAGAAGGTCGTTGCTTGTCCTGAACCTCATGAGACGGTGACAAAGGGAATTAGTAATGCCAGCGAGGGACAATCTTGTGGCTGTTCACAAAGTGAGAGGACAGTCATCTAATCTTGTGAGCAAGGAAGACAAACTTTTAAGTCCTAGCATGATTTAATGGTGATGCTGTGGCAGGCTCTTTTCAAGTTCTTTAGAGAAAGAAGTGATTAATTCAAGGTTTTAGTGAACTTAACCTTGTTTCCTGGATTTGTGTCTCAGTTAAGACAGCTGCTGTTCATAATCTGAGATGAGAGGAGGAAGATGGCTTTATACTTAATAATGAAAAAGTAGAAGACCAGAGCAGAAAGATCTGGAGTGACCTGGTATAAGCAGTTCAACCACTGCTTGCTTCCCTTGCACCTGGGACAGCAAAGCCATCTCATAACACCAGCTGTGTCTCAATAATTTGTAATACTTAAACTGGAAGTACTTGATAGTATGTAATTTTTTTCTTATATTAGATACTTCAAAGAAAAGTTTATTGGAGAACTCTCACGGATGTTTTGGCTACTGTCCTTGGAAGGGCTTCTTTCTCAATAGGGTTTGCAAAATGCTTTTATTTCAGAATAATCAGTATTTTTAATCCTTTAATGTGTATCCTAGCATTTATTCTTTCTCACAACCCCAGTCAAAGTACCAGTGATGGGAGCAATGTATTATGATAAAAATTAGAAAGGAAGTCCAAGAAACCTGTTGAGGCCTACAATTTATAACAGTAATAATGCAGTGAAGGGAAATCGAGGGGAGACACGCAGTAAGCCTAGATGGAGTAGCAAACGGTGACCTTTCAGACACTCCAGGATCCTGAGATATGCAAAACACTTAAAATGTCTCCACTTTGGCAAAGAGAACGATACTGTGAAGCACTTATACTCACCTGGTTGTAAGTAATGGGCTCCTGCTTAGAAGCCCTGAGCTTACGCAACTGCTCTTTGTCTTTCCGAAGGTCTGTTTTGCAGCCAATCAGTACCAGGGGGACACCCTGGCAGAAGTGATTCACTTCAGGATACCACTGATGTTAGAAAAACAAAACCTGCATTATTTTGGTGGTTCTATGTACAGGAATGCTAACTTCTGCTTTGGAACATACAGAAATCCTACTACAGACAGGTGGTTGCTTATATTTCTTCTCCCCTAGCTAAATGTGCATGTGCTGGAAGTGGACTTGAATCTGAAATGCTTGTGTGCAACGGTTGTGTGACATCACTACAGACAAAGCAGCAACTCTGCAGCTGATTTGTGATCTTTTTAGAGTACTACAGAGTCAAGCCCAATTCCAAGCACTTGAGAGCCACAGAGAGGTAATTTCTGGGTCTAAGGTCTGTGACCTGCAGTTCAGTGCACAATGAACGACCTGTCCATCTGTACACTCTGGATACAGGATTACTAAAAGCATCAGCTTTTTTAATCTGACATCTTGTCCTGCATCAACCGTACATAATTCATTTAAAAGGCTGAAGTAATTACGGGAGGCTCTTACCTTATCTGCTACATTATCATAGCTGGTGGGGTTCATGACATCGTAACAAATTAACACGACGTTTGTGTTCTGGTAAGAGAGCGGCCGCAGCCGATCGTAGTCCTCCTGCCCTGCAACACAGAGAATGTTTCGGAATACAGTAAATTTCTATCCTTAACAAGCAGTATGATGGGAATGTGTAAAGGTAAATACTTGAGTTCAAGAGTACTGTAACAGCAAAGACTGAAGAAATGTCCATGCTTGTGAAATTCCTTCCCTTAAATGCAGGCTATCCTTCTTCGCTGACAAAATGGATCCTTTGGAATACAAAATGTGATAAAAAGGCTGCTTTGTCCAACTGCTGATTTTACAAGACGTGCAACCACACAGAACAGGCTCAACTCTTTGAAGCAGGACTTCACCACCAATCTTTGGGATGCTGCTCAACTCTAGAAAATTGTTCATGCTTTTAATTAGTGATATTACAGCTCAGGGTCTAATTAGAGGAAGTTAACTTGCTTCAGACCTGTACTCTTCCCCTTTGCTTGCAGTTATCGTGCTGGATAAACCATTGCTCAGCTTGCCTGAGAAGTGTGTAAATCTTAGGTTTGGGCTGTTCTCTGCATTTGAGCAGCAAGCTCTATGGGTGAGGCACTAAGCAAAGTAGGATTGATCCCTCAGGGTTTAATACTAAAATAACAGGCAATCAACAAAATTATGCATGTTGTGTAAACATTCAGAGCAAAGATTTACTGCTTAGCCCTTCTTATTCTCGCAAATCCACTCTCTTGTTTGCAACCGATTTACCGTTCTGTTGTTGAGCTAATCCTCTAAATGCACTGAATTTCAAATGTGGAGCACAAAATGAGGTAAAATGTGCCCCCAAAAGTGGGTTGGTTAGACGTGTATTAGGGTTGGATAATTGCAGCTCTCCCTTGGAAGGAGGGAAGCTATTGTTTCAGAGCTCAAGTACAATTCTTCAGGTGGATGTAACAGAACCCAGCTCAAGCTGTGTCTGAACACTGACATCTCTCTCACTGAAACCTCAGTGAGAACATTTCCTTTCATAGCCTGTCCTTAAGTGCTGCTGATGAAATGCAGAAAGGGCCTGTGAGACTTCTTCTCCATAAAGTTGCTCAGTTTGTGGTCAGAGCCTTTGGCACAGATTTAGGTCTTCTAGTAGAAATAGAAGGCTGAATCCAAATAGTTACTGAATGTACTGAATAAATGCCTACAGCTGAGCACATCTGTGACTCCACTGCCTTCCTCAATTCACTGTAGCATTTTAGCATAAGAGACAGCTTTTAAAAACAAAACAACCAACCAATAAAACCTGACCAGCTGAATTCATCTGAAATTTGCTACCTCTTTATCATCACATATTGCTGTCAGGCCGTATGGGGCAAGCGGGACCTCAAGCAACACCAGAGGGAGAGAAGGGGAAGTGATGAAACCACAGATCTCAGTCTCCTACGTATGTTCATGTCTGCCTGCTCCTCCTCCTCCTTCACTAAATAACACCAAGGATGAGCCCAGACAGCCTGTTCACAGCTCAGCCTGCACAGGAGCTCAGCAGCCACATGCACCACTGGGAGAGATGTACTGTTCAGGGGCATCTGCACCTTTTCCCCGGGATAACTCACATTGGAAGTCCTCAGCCCAGTGTGCCTGTTTTGATCCATTTTCCTCTCCAGCAGACATCGCAAAGAAATTAATGGAGAACGCCTTCCTTTAGGCCCAATTAATTAGTGGCACTCTCTCGCTCTCACACACTCAACGTAAGTGGTATCGCAGCCAGCTCTCCTGATGGCTGTGAAGATGAGGTGGACATGGGGGCCTATTGGGTGCTGAAGGTCCCGTCCTGCACTGCTCTGCACGAGGCCTGTGGCAGCAGACCCAGCAGGACTGGCGGGCATTGAGCTGATGTGCTTTGTAATGCACAAAATACTGCACTGTAACGTAGTCATGAAAAAATGTCCCAGGTCTGCCGTACTCTCAGGGCTGTGGAAAGCCAGAGACAACAACCCAAAGGCCTTTATGTGCTGGGGAAATGTGTCCACAAAAATAAAGTACAGAACAGGGCTTTGTCAAAGCTAACACAATAAGCACAGCTCAAGTTACAGCAGCGCAGTCCACTGCCACCAACAGCCAGCATGTAAGGAAGAGCATCACATCCTGTCACCCAGACCAGCCAACCACTTCCTATACATGTCAGTGCAATACTTTATGCTTGTTATTTAAATTCAGCATGTAACCACAGGGAGAGGAGCTCTCACTGATACACACCAAACTCTCTGTGTCCATCTGCAGGCTCCATGAGAACACGGTTATCAGCTTGCAGCTGTGTTATTTCGCTTTGCAGCTCAGAAAAGTTTGGGAAATTGAATTTTTTCTTGGCAGGAATAAAAGCAGTAGAAGAGGACTTAGGTTGGAATGGGGGGATACATTTTGATTTCAAGTAGTCCTTCCCCTGCAAAGTTATGCAAAATTACTTTTGCATGTACCAGCCCCTAAAGGCCTGATGCTGTAGAGCATCTATCATTAGAGACCGGAAAAAACCTGCTGGAGGCTTCAAGCGTGCTTCCTGCGACTCAGAGTGAGCTTCCACAGTGCTCACAGGAGGCACTGCTTCCTCCTCGGCTCAGCACAGTTTACTGCTTTGTTCTGAGAAGTCCTGCACTGAACAGCATCAGAAATGGAAACCTACATTTGAATCGCAGCTGAGGCATCAACTCGATTATGCTATTCCCTTAGAATAGAAACAATTACAAAGCTAATTAATCTCTCAATTTTTTTGTCAAGCATGGCCAGAAATGGCAATTTTTAATTAAATATGCAGCAGCAAAGCCTGTTTGCAGACAAGTGGTATTACAAAGCTTTTATACATTGCATGTATATACCACCAACTTCCTGCAACAGCAAAAGGTGTCTCTGATGAGAAAGGCAGAGCAGCAGAACATGAAAGCCTTTCCAAAAACTACTACTGAAGCATATTGTAGACTAACTCATTACTGTTGGCTTGTTATCAAAATTCTTGCCAAGAAAAAAATATCTTCTGTACCTTAGAATGTTTGATTCTCAGGCAGTTTGTGCATGTCCTTCTCCTTTAGAAAGTAGGGCAAGCAGAAAACCTCCAACTGAGCAGGGCTGAACAATACAAAGAGTCCTTCTCACTTTACACAGCCCACAGTGTCCTTCACCTTCCCGTGACGCTAAGTGCATGCAGCTCTATTTAGGGCTGCTCTTAGCTGGATCCTAAAAATACTGAAGTCCTTTCTGCAGTAGGTGTATGATTAAGATCCAGTGACACTTTTTAGAACAGATTTGCTTTCTCCTCCCATACTCTCCTACATGACACTAAACTGAAACCCTTCGCTTCCAAAATAGTTTTACATCCCTCCAATCCCGTTTAAATGATCTCACAATAGCATGAATGATTTGGGGATCTTTCAGACTAAGAGCAAAATGCAGGAGCTCCCTTATCTGCTGACCAGCGCTTCCCCTTGGACTCTGGGAAAAATGCAGCTCTTCATTATATTCCAACCTTAGGAACTTGACATCAGTTTTGTTTCATTAAAAACAGGATGGGATTTAAATATGGGCTCAAGAGAGTTCTTCCTACGGCATCACTTCCGCCTTCAGAAAGATGATGAGAAGCTACTTGGATCACAGTGCATGACATATCTGTAAACTATAACTATGCCAGAGGCCTGGCAGCCATCACACTCTCTTGGGAGGTGAAGTATGTTGGGTTTCAAGGTCTCCAGACAAGGGAAGCAATTGCTTATTCATGGCAAAGAGCCCTGCCAACTGGCCGGCAGTGCCATCTGCACCTCCCGATGTCTCATGAAACTGCACTCCGTTCTTATTTGTGATGGCATTAATTTGGAACAACTCTGCAGAATGCAACATGATTTATTTACACGGAGCTGAAACACAGCGCATGCCAACTTTAGGGTCTACTTGGAATGCAGCCGGACAGCAGAGCCTGGGAAGTCTGAATGAATCACAGGATCACAGAACATCCCCAGTTGGAAGGAACCCACATAAGGATCATTGAATCCAACTCCTGGCTCCACCCACAAATCAGACTGCATGAAGCTGAATGCAAATTAAATCCCAAGCTCCTGATATCAACCCAAACAATCAGCTTTCCCCAATAACCTTTAACGCAAAGGCCTTTTTCATTCTGAACCCAAACCATCTCTTTTCTCCTTTACTGTTGGATCACACGTGGCAGGAGATTAAAATATTTTCTTGGTTGACTGTGTTATGTACTGGGAGCCGGGTTTAATACCTTCAGATATGTTTGCAATGTGATGCAATGTCCCAACAAACGGGGTCACTGCGGCACAGAACAAACCTGGCCTGCAACCGCCATGACACAAGTGACCATTTCTTCAGAGAAACGCCGTTCACAGCCCAACCTGTCCCAAGGCGGGGAAAGGCCCTACCTGCAGTGTCGTACAAGTTCAGGATGACCTCCTTTTTGCCGATGGTGATGCTGGTGGCATACTTCTCAAACACAGACGGTGCGTATTGCTGCAAACACGGAGAAGTATTCAAGTTACAGACAAGGAAACTCGCACAAGGCCGCGTCCGTGTCGCGGTGCTGGGGAACAGCCCAGAACGGCCGTGAGAGCCCCGCTTCTCCCCCGGGCCACCTTCAGGCGCTTCTTCTCTCGCAGACCCGCGGGCCCTCGGGGCCGCCCCGCCCTGACCGAAGCCGCTCACTCTGAGGAGCGTTCCTCGGCCACCTCAGCGCGAGCCCCCCGCTCTCCTCGCGGCTCACCTCAGGGAAGGCGCCGTTCGCGTACACCATCAGCAGCGACGTCTTCCCGCAGCCGCCGTCCCCCACGATCACCATTTTCACCTCCTTTTTCCCCGACGGCGCCGCCGCGCTGCCTCCCTTTCCTCCCGCCGCGCCGTCGGGCACGGCCCCGTTGGCCGCCTCCATGGAGCCGAACGGGGCTCAGAGCCGCCGGGACGGCGCTCCGCAGCGGAGCCCCGGGGCGGGCCGGCACCGCCCGCGCCCCGCCGGGGATTGGCCGCGCCCCGGGGCGCCTCAGGTGGCTCCGGGCGTCGCTCGGGGCCGCGCCGACACCGCCGCGCTCCGGGGAAAGCACTCCGAGGCGGCGTGGAGCAGCCCGGCACCGTGCGGGCGGAGCTGAACGCGGGACCCAAAGCCTCTGCAGAGGCGGAGATCCGAGCGTGGTGGAGCGCGGGTCTGAAGGACAGGAGAGCGCTGAGGTGCCCCCACGATGCGTCTGCACGGGGCACAGGGAGGGGCGGCGGCAAACTGCGTGTGTTCTGCTGTACCCAGTGCCTTGTGTTCAGAGTGAGCTATCGTAAAAGTCAAACAGGATGATGTGTTTGAGTTACGGAGATGTCAAAGCCTGCAGACACCTGCCTGATAGGACAAGAGGTAATGGCCTTGAGTTGTGCCAAGGGAGGTTCAGGTTGGATGTTAGAACAACTTCTCAGAAAGAGCGGTCAGGCTGGAAATGAACTGCGAGGTCATCCAGTCCGACCCCTACCCATCACCCTGTGCCCGCTGACCACATCCCTCGGTGCCGCATCTTCATGGTTCTTGAGCACCTCCAGTGACAGGGACCTCACCACCTCGCTGGGCAGCCCGTCCCAGTGCTCTTTCTGAGAAGAAATATTTCCTAACACTGAACCTGAACCTCCCCGGCACAGCTTAAGGCCATTAACTCTTGCCATGGGTGCTTCTGTTCAGAACATAACACCCTGCAAAGAGTTCATGCAGCCACAGGCACCTCAGGTCTGCTCTGTCCCCCTTCAGGCCCATTCTTTTTCCCTTGTCAATCAGAGTTGGAACTCAGTGATCTCTGAGGTCCCTTCCAACCCAAGCCATTCTGCAGTTCTACACAGTTGTGTCACTAGATGGCCTTCCAGACTGAACACAGAGCAACCGTGCTCCTCATGTCTGGGAATAACTTCTTTCAAGGAAGATCCTGCTCTGCGTGCAGGGCAAGTAGAAAGAAAAAAGTGTTTCAGTGATAGAGGGAGGATGGGCATGCAAATGCCCTACGAAGTGTCATATAATTCAAATTAAGAAGGTAAAAAAAGGTAGCCAATCTCACATCTGCTTAAAGCTAACCATTTTACTGAGGAAATACTTGACATGAGCATGTAGGATACACAAAAATATCCTTTATGAACCATCATCTTCAATATCTGATCTGCAAGACAGCAAAAGCTATCAGCTCCATGAGGTTGCAGGCACTGAGGGCATTCTGGTATTGCATAGCAATGAATGGTCCAAGAGTGATATGTTTTACACTGAAACAACTCCTTTGAACTTGGCTCAAAATGAATGCCGTACTATGGTATGATCAACACATAGACTTGCTAGTCTTCCTGTAATTACACAGCATTTCAGTGTCTCTGATGCTTATTTTTAATTAATGGGTTTGCAGTTCTTCAGACATGAAAAGTACCATGCAAAAATGGTGTATTTTGCTGACTGAAAAGTGAAATCTAATATGGAGTTCTGCCACTGATTTAAATGGATGAAAATTCAACCCTCTATTAGTGAAATTCATATCTAATCACTATTAATTACAAGTGTACTTCTCCGGTTTTGGCCTATACATCAATTTTGGCACAAGTTCTGTGTCATCAAAAGCTTACACATCTGCAGTCTTAAGAGTTTGTGTACAGTGAGCGCACCAAAATCAGAGATGCAGTGGGGTATAGCAAATATCTGTGTTCCATTACTGTTACATAGCTGGTGCTGCACAGTTGCGGAGAAAAATAATAGGAAGGAGAGAAAGGTAAGCACACTGCCTAGGAAAACTGCTGGAAGCATGTGGCTTTTGAAAGATGCTTTAACAGTTTAGATGGTATTTATGGGTGATATGGGTTAGTTTTCAGGAAAAAGACTCTCAGTTTGGTTTAATATTGAAGCTATAACCATTCAGAAACAGCGTGATGAAATTCCTCAAAATACCACCCAAAGAAAAGCGTTTCAACCTCCTGGACATTTTGGTTGTTTTCATGTAAGAACATCAGGTGTGCCATCAGCCTGACCTCCTAAGGAAGCAATACCAATGTGCTCATGTTATGGCTCTCTGTCCTTCATAATGTGCTTAAGAAAGGTAACAGAGACATAATAATACTAAAGGCCTTTGAGTTTTGCCACTACAGAAAATCAAGTAGGGGAAGAGAAGCATAATGGTAAATTGTGCAAAATGGTGAGAAAAGATGTTATAAATAGTAAATATGTTAACGGGTTTGACAAAATTTTCTGGATAATTATGTTTTTTCATTTAGAGGAACTCAATGCTGTTGAAGTTACGAGTTTCCAATGACTTAAGCGGTGTCACAGTGCGTGCTCTTAGCTGATACGTATACCTTGCAGTAATATTTTTTAATGGAGAATACGACTATTTTAGCTAGCCAGCAAAGTGTCAGACTGATGGTACTTCCTTGTAGCCACAACTGCAGAGAGCAGCAGCAGCAAACGCCATCTGCTGTATACTCATGCTATTAGCTTATATGGTACTATGAAAGATAAGAATGGGAACCCACTCTTTCTAGAGTGTCTTTAGAATGAAAATTTTGAAATACACTTAATAATTTTCTACTTGATAATACAGACCCCAGCTTTACAGAGGCTTAAAATTTACAATAAACAGTTGCTCTATTTATGTCAAAGAAATACTCATAAACTTAATTAAGAATGTGCACAATGAGGTAAAGACTTAAATGCTTGTCTTCAGAGATTAACAGTGATAGTACTTAGTGTTATCACTGATGAATTCCCTCTGAGCTATAGCATGTACATATAGAGCAAGACATAAAGCCCTGAAGTGGTTACAGTCTCAGTAGGAAAGACAGACCCTAAAGAACGGGACATAACATGCAAGTAGAGTGAATTTCCAGTAAATTCCCAACATTATACAAGTGCCACAGTTGTTTGTAAAGCAAAAGTGCAAAGAATAATCTCAGTCCTAAAGAATTTACTGTGTGAGCTGACATGGCAGATAGGGAAGGGTGAACTATCATGGAGGAGAGGTGAACTGTGTACCCTGCCTGCACAAAGAAGTTATTGGTGACTATCAGTGTAAGAGGAAAACGCTACGACAAAGCAAAGTACATACTCGAGGCAATGCCATTTATTTACAGAAAAGCTGTATGAAGTTGCTTTTTCAGTTGTGCTTCTGCTCACAGTCCTGAGCTTCTTTTGTCCCTCACTCAACACAGGAAATCTCCAAATCAAAGCTCCCACCCTCCTGGACTTTCAGCTGCTTCTCAATATCCATTTCAGTAGTGCTACTCGCTGTTTCTCATGCACATGCAGAGCTCCACCATCTGCTCCTTGTGGCCTGATATTTTACACACACACTCCGCCCCCAAAATTCAGAAAAATCCCCTGGGCCACATGATTCACTGTCTATTCAGACCTTGCCATGTGCCTGGTTTTTGTGTAGTACCCGCTACTGATGCAAATCCCTTGTTTCACGAGGGATCTCAATTGCCTTTTTCACTGAAGGCAGGGTGGCTCTGACACCTGCCAATTTCTGAGGGGTTTAGCCCAACCTAAAACATTATTATATTCTTGTTTGGCTCAGTGGGAACTGTATATTTTTTTTTCCAGTAAAATCATATTAACTTTCTAGACTATTAAGTAATGTGGAAAAAATCATATTTCAATAAGAAAATTTCCTTTCTGCTTTTTCATGCCTAAGGACTAGAGTTCCTGTTTCACTTGGCTCAAGTAGCCCATGTAGTAAATCACTGCAAAAATCTCTCAATAAACCCCACGTAAAACTTGTCCAAATGCTACCAGAGAGTTCAGAGGGCTATGAAAGAAAACAGGACAACTGTCTGTAATGGGAGGTGTTGGCCAAGTTAAACACAACTCAGCAGAAGCAGGCAGAGAATATTCAGGTACTGTGATACAGTTTGGACAGATTTTTGTCCATAAACCACAGCTTGACTGCTACCTAGAGAGCAGCTATTTATAGGGAGTGCATACTGTTTCAAGGGTTATTTTCTCTGGTATGCTTTAAATCAGGGATGCCAGCTATGCGGGCCAAATTTGGCTTACCTGATACATGTATGGCCAGTGTGCTGTATTTTGAATCTTACCTTTCATTAAAACTTGAGTTCCTGGCTTTGCAGCAGTGGAAAAATAATCTAAGAATTTGAAAAGTATATAAATCAACATACAGTGTCTCAGCCTGATACAGGAGGTGCTCACGAGCAGGCTTAAGCCTTCTGGACTTTGCTGAAGCGTGAATTCTCAAGCCAAATTCAGTTGAAAACAAAAACAGGTAAAGCAAAGTTAAGATCATCCTATATGTTTCTGGAACATCAAGCATAATGACTAATTTCTGAAAAGCATGAAATGAGCAAGTATCTGCCAACACCATCCTACCTCTGGCCCTGCAGATCTGTGTCTCCCAGATGTGCTGCATGGCTTCACAGAGGAACAGTGAGGAATTTATCAACACTTGCTGGCAGAGCTAGGTGATGCTGGATTTTATCCTCTACCTCGGTGTTGGAAAGCAAATCTGGAAGGATCCAACACGCTTTGTCTGAGGCGAGGTCTGTGGTTGTGTGTGGTTGGTTTCACCAAGGGAACCCAAGAAGCGGGTTCAGGAGTGATGCACAGGCTTGCTCATGGCCGAGTGAGTAATGAGGGCTCTGCTACTGAGCTGCATGAAATTCATCCACTTCAGATGCTTTTCTGTGTCCAAATCTGCAGCAGAGAGTAGTCCATCAGGAGAGAAAGGGGCTGTAAACGGCTTTCCTTGGTGGGTTATGCTTCCCAAAAGGCGGTTGGTAGATTCCATCAAACCTGAAATAGGTTCAATTGTTCTTTTGTGAGAGAATTTTGAGAACTACATGATTAGATGAAGCTGGGTATGGTTTGCTAAACATGCCTTCCACTGTGTGAGGTGGGATGCAACCTGAACAATGAAACCTGAAAAGTTTTTAGAACTGTTAATCAACACTTCATCAGCGATCCATTAACCATCACTCTCCCAGGCACCTGGCCCTGGCAGGAAGCTCTTCTATCTTCTGGACAGAAATGTGAGGAAACGGAGTAAATAGGGAAAGAAAACAAGAATAGTGTGTGTGCTGTGAGAAAGAGGGCTGTGTACGAAACAAAGGCAGGTGTTTGCTGAGTAGTGTATGGCACCAACATCCATGTGCCCAGTGCGTATTGTCACACATCACTGGTACAGCCACAGCTAGTACAAACTTCCTGGGGAGGACAGCAGCCACCGACTATAGAAGATGGAATCCTCTGCTCATCTTCTGATGGGAGACACCATAACCTCTGCCTGCTTTTTGCTGAGTGCTACATACGCAGGGAGAGCTGAGCAGCTTTGCTGATATCTGGATGGAAGCTCATGTGTGGAGAACTAGAGAGGTTTGTGACACGTGTGAGCGTCCTTGAACAAAGTACAGAGCAGCCTGAGCCAAGCTGAGAGCAGGCCCCACAAAGAACCAGCAAGGCTCGGAGCAGGCTACTGAGTAACTCAGGGGGCAGAGAAATGAACTCAATTCTAATTATGTCATCCTGCTGCCCCTGATAGCATTTCCTGTGCATTTCTCTCTTCCTACACACGCTTCATCCTTCCTGTCTTGCGTTGTCACAGTAGGCACACCGTGAAGCTCCCGGTTGCTTACTGGGATTAACATAGCAGCTCTGTTTTTTTTTTAAGGCAGGCAGAATCTAATTAAACTTGAAAACAGCAGCAGTGGTGTTGTGGATGCTGTGGAAACCAATACTCAGGTTTCCAGGTTTAGCTCAGGATTTGCAACGGCCTCCTTTCCTGAAGACCAGAACAAACATACAGAAAAGGTATTTGGAGTTAAGACTTACCTTGAAAAAAAAAATCACAGAAAAACTAAAGCAAGTATGAAAATAAATTAGAAACAAGGGGCAGATAAGAGCAGAGCCCGCAGGAATCAAATCTAAACAAAAGGTAGGGGCTGGGCCGTCCAGTGAGAAAGCTGCAAATGGCAGGGGTCAGAATGTAAAACTACAGTCCACTGTGAAACATGAAAGATGCTGTTGTCTTCCACACCTCCTTTTTCCAGGTGTAGCCATCTCCACACAGTGAAGGGCAGTAATGAATCAAGCTCCTTTCCTCTCCTCCTGTGTTTTCTATTCAATTATTCACAGGCTGTGCCAGTTCTGCTTTATTTCTCCCCTCCATATGCTGCACTCTTCTCCTGGGGTTTTTTATTCTGAACTGTGCCTTTGGCCCCTCTCCCATTTCTTTCTCCTCAGCATGTGCCCCCTGCTCTGCTATGATCTGCTGCCTTTGTAACCTCTACGTGCACATATGCTGGCTCTCCGTCCTTCCCTTGGCTCCTGGTCTGTCGAGTGTCCCTTTGCTTCACACCGATGTTTTTGCCAGGGGGTCAGCAGCCAGCCAGCAAAGAAACAATTCTGCTATGGCCACTGCTCATGCTTTCATGCTGCCAGCTCCTCTCTGCCAATCAAGGGGAAACAGTGCTTCTCCCCTTGCACAGCTGATTGGTAGTGAAGGCAAGGACGGCTCTGCAGCTGCTTAGCAACTGGGAGCTGCTGCTGTGCAGCCCCACAGAAAGGCAAGGGACAGCGCAGCATTTGCTTAATTCTGCACATTCTGGCCCACTAGGCTGAAAACCACGGCTTAGTGGAGCAGCTGGGGCACTCCCAGCTGTCCTGACAAAAATAAATCAAGATGAGGATCCTTGACTGCAGATAAGGCAGCAAACGCAGCAATGTCAAGGGCAAAGCTGCCTTTCTTTTGTGCCATAGGTTGTTTGCATTGTGCCAGTTAGAGGAAAATGCTCCAATTTGTAAGCTAAACTCATTCAGTTTGATCTTTGTCATCGCTTTTCTGGCTGTAATATTTTATGTTCCATCACTTATAATGAGAATGTTCTCTCTGTGCGCTGCGTTTGTTCAAAAGGCTTACGGGTCTCCAGCTACACCGCTTCGAAGCTGCTTAATGATAGGTGTCCAGGCACATAGGTATTTTAATGCACAAATATCCTTTCAGATTACTTAACTCTATACTCACGTCCTTTTGTGCAAGCCCAGTGAATGTCAGATATGTCCAGCAATCTGACAGCTTTAGAATGCTGATTAGAATTGCCAACCTTCTTGATTTAATGATTTTTTAAGCCTGAAAGTACTGTAAACAATAATGAGTTGTACATGCTGATGGGATCACAGCATTTCAATAGTAGCTCTATTTCAATGGCAAGCAGCAACACAAAACATTCTGCAATTCAGATGTTGAAACAGCTTTTTTATTCTTTCGAAGCTCAAGAATGATTAGATCTCTGAAAGCACAAGCTACCTATATTACAGAGGTGGCTTTGTCATAATAGTGCCAGAAATAAAATGAACAGATGTAGTTTAAAAGGAAAAGAAAAAAGACAGCCCTGGCAAATGCCCAGCATGTCCATCAAAACTTGTATGGATCTTAAACAAAAGAAATGTTTGTTCCCCTGTTACATACGAAGGTATCTCTCTTTGTACTCAGGCACAACCACCCAACAGAACGGTGGCTCCCCATCATTATGCAGCACACACAGCACATGTGCATACGGCCCATGCATCTGCACAGCATGCTGGAACACAGGTAAAATCTGCCAGGAGATGCGTATTTGGCTGAGAAATTCCTTACCTGTATGACGTGCCATACTTAGGAAAAGGTTAAAAACAGGAAAAAAAAAAACCAACAAACCAACCAACAAAACCACCAGAAAAAAAATCAAACAAGCCCCAAAAAAACATGAACAGGCAAATGCCCAATGCATATTGCAGCTCAATAGTCCTTTGATATTTTTAACCTGGTTTCCTAAAAGTTCTCTGTCATTTTTCCCCTCCTTCCTCCAACCTCAGCCAAATTTGACAGCGGGGAAGAAATCCCAAACATGTTTAGGTCTGGAAGGAACAGCCGAGCAGAGTATGCAGCAGAGGCAGCACTGAGCCCTGGCAGAAAGGCAGGTAGTCTCAGCTCCCCCCAGGGGCAGTGCTGTCCCCTTGCCCAGCCAAACAGGGAAAGAACTGGAAGGACTCTGTAGGGATTTGTCTGCAAATCCGCAGGAGAAGCAGTTTTGTGAGTTCAGCTGCTGAGAGAGAAACTGAAGTTAGCTGATAAATTGAGTATCACTGGTAGAGAACATCTAGAAGAGAGCTGTACTTCAACCCTTGTGAAGCATTTACACGATTATGAGAATATAAAATCAAGACGACATAATCACATGGAATAAAATCCATCCAATAGGAATATCTCAAAGTGCAGTTGTCACTGCTGCGTCTTAGAGCTGTTATCTTTCTTTTATGGGCGCTGTAACTACCTGGTTTGGGCCCCACACTATTTAATGGCTCTGTCTGATACAGAGCAGGCACACGTTCCAATGTGCCCCATGGCTCCCCGCCAGCTCCTGCACTGGGTTTTCCTCCCGCGGATGGGTGTGGTGGGAGATGGCGTAGATCAGATCTCCTGACTCAATGTTGACAAAACTGAGGCACACACCTGGAACCGGGACACTCCTACAGCAGAGACAGAAACGGTCTTTGTCAATGAGCTGGAAGAAAACATAAAATATTTACCATTCAGGTCTGTGGGTGACAAGGAAGATCAACAGCAGAATGTGTAAATAAGGCCACTGCAAGCAGCGATGCTGCCTAAGGACTGCCCTTAAGAGCCAAGCGTCAGGCTGTTCAGAGACAGATGCAGTCCCACGGGAGGAGCAAGTTGGATGGCATTTTAGGCAGAGCAGGAAAACCAGCTGAGCACCGGGAATGATCCACGGGTGCGTAACAGAAACCTCAGCACACTGCTGGCACGGGTGGGATCGCTGCTGAATGCTCCGCCCTGATCCAAATGGTGAAAAACTGGAGACAGAGAAGCAATATTTATAGGGTTGGTGAGTCTGGAGCCCGAGGGGGAGCTCTGCAGATCTGCAATGGGAGCATTGAATCTGCGGATATCAGCCTGCACACAGCTCCATGGGAAAAGGACCTGGAATGGAGCATTCGCTCGAGCAGACCGAGGTGCAGCAGCAACTGAAAGCAGAAGCCAGACAAAGCTCAGTTTAAAAGGTACCTTCATTCCATCTACCAGGTAGATTTTCATGGAAACAGTCTGCCAATTCTTACTTTATTCTCAGAGACCATTTTAAAAATTACAACCATGGTCTTTTCTCTAAGATACAGGTATGCTATTGTTAAATTCTCTTGAAAGAGAAAAAAGCAACACATTCCCAAATATCTTATGACCTGCATCATACAGGAAGTCAAACCAGACAAACCTAGGTCCCTTTTGTCCTTTATAATCTGCTAATCTAGTATGCTTGCACAAGCAGCAGATTGTGACATGCAGACCTTCAACAGAAAGGATTCTGTGTACAAACCAGTCTGCAACAAAATGTTGTAAACAGTCCCAGTCATTGTTTGGCAGAGCGACTACATATTTGTTATTTCACTTCGCCTCTCGATCTAATTTGCTTTAGTCACAGCACTTTGCCAAAGAAATTAAACAACTTCTTATTGATAACAGGCACTAAAATAATTACCGCCAGAGTTTTTGACTCAACAACACAGGAGAGGGACACTGCGGGTAAGAACAAACCCCACTGCTTTAAGAATGTGCACAGAGTGACCACGGGCCATTTGGAGGAAAAAATCTGTTTCCTTTCCCCTGAAAGATCTCTTTCTTTCTCTGAAGAGCTCAGGCAGCAAACCAGGGTCAGCCTGACCCGAGGCTGGAAGTCTGCTCTGACCTCTGTGTTCTTTAAGCACGCTGTACCAGAACGCTTCTCTTTTCAAATAGGAGGTTCAACCATTAAACCACCCACTCCAGGGAGCGCAACCGGTCTCAACCGCCTCGGTTGCTTTTCAACAGCACTGAACATTACAGTCATTTAGAAACCCTACAAACGTACAGAAATTTTCAGTTCAGACTTACAACAACCATTTCCAGAAGCGCTGAGGACCCATGCAGAGCGCTGGCTCTGCTTTACCCCGTGGGATTTGGCTGGTGTGGGCCCTGCTGTGTGCTAAGGAGCAGCCGGGTGTTCCAGCACCGTCCAAGCGGTGATGGATTGCACACAGCAGCAGTCACGGTCCTGCGGAGACGTGCAGAGAGGTGCGAGTGCAGACAAAGCTGTCTGAGCTCCCACGGTATTATGGTCTGGCTGAATTGTTTCGAAGCCTGCGCTGCGTTAGACAGAGCTAGTTTGCTTCGGGGTTAAACAGACCAAAATTGAGCGTTAAAATGCAGACGTTAAGATCCATAGATCTATTTAAACATCAGCTTAAAATACAGGCAAGTTCACGGCCGGTGCTGTTTCAATCAGCCAATTCTTTAATGGCTTTGCATGCTGATTTAACTCATGATGATGCAAGCAACTGAAACATTGCAGCACAGCCCTAAGAACCCTGCAAACCCCAGGACAGCTCAGCACCACTCCGGCCATCGCATCCTGCTCCAGGAGGCGTCCCACGATCCCAGGAGCAGCAGAGGAGCACTGTATCGCTGCCTGCTTTAACCAACGCCACCGTCTCTTCCATGTGAGGGCAGAAAGGGCTCCAGCAGTGCTCCCATCATGGCTGCTGGTGGGGCAGGGCGCAGGGAGGCAGCCAGCCTCCCAGTTTTTCTTTTTTTTCCCTTTGGAAATGTGTTCTGTGTTGTGTGGACAACAGCTTCAAGACCAAACAGGGGATGGGGATGAAAGGAAGAAGGAATAAGTAAAAAATAAAGAAACGAGCATAACCTGACGTTGTTTCCACAGTACCTCCTTCGCAGGGCAGCTCAGCGCTGGCGTACCGACCCGGCAGCGCGACTGGACTCGGGCAGCACTTACCTCATCCCTCCCACCGCTGGGCTGCACGGCTTGGCCCAGGCACCCCTCTAGGTGGGCTTTGTGTGCCTTCCGCCCGCCGAAGCCTGGCTTTGCTATCTGATTTGAGGGAGCAGCTCAGCCGGGCCCGGGGCTGAGGGCCGGGGAGGCCGCGGGACTCCTCCCCACCATTCGCGGCCACGGGCGGGCGGAGGCGGCCGCCGTTCTGCCGCACCGGCGGCGGGGGGAGAAAAACAGCGCAGAGCCATGTGACGGCGGCGGGGAGCGCTCCCCCGGCACGTTGGCTCCAACTGCTCATTAGCTTGCCTTCTTCCCCCCCCCCCCCCCAACCCCCATTTTACAGTTGGGGGGGTGGTGTTTATTCCTCTTTTTTTCTCCTCCCTCTGCATTTAGGCTGCTTTCAGCCTTTGGTATTTATAAAACCGGTTGGAGGAAGGGAGGAAGGCTGAGGGGCGGGCTGCGTTATTTATAGGTGCCCAGCCCGCAGGATGCGCGCTTGCCTTTGTCCTCCCCCCCCCCCCCCCCCCGCCTGGAGTCCCGCCAGCCCCGCGCCGCCCGCTGCCGCAGGGCGCTCCCCGCCGCCGCCATCTTGTGCGCCGCTCCCTGCTTTCTTTCTCCTTCCAAAACCCCTCACAAAGCGATGGGGGAAGGGGAAAGAAAAAAAAAAAAAAAAAAAAAAAGAGAAAGAAAGGAAAAAGGGGTGGGAGGTGGGGGAATAAAAAAGGCCGTTTCCCCCGCAGTGAGCGGGACGTGGAGCGTCGGGAGGCAGTGGGGGACTCAGCGCTGAGGAGAACGCGGCGGTGAAGAAGCAGCCATGATGGCGGCCGTCCTCACACAACACCGAGCGCGACCCGGAGCGCCCTGCCAGCCACCAGCCGCCTTTCCCGGCGCACGGGACGCGGTTTCTCCACAGGCTTTCACACAATAAAAGCACCAGACTTCGGCGGGGAGGCCATTTCGTGGTCTGGGTGGCCGCACTAAAGCACAAGCGCTGTGAATTACCAACTGCGTCACGGCTCTCTCCAGCTGTAGCGCTCAGGCAGCCAAGGGTCCCTCACTTGGAAGGCAGCTCCCTCACTCCGGATTTACTTCCAGACCTCATTTTTCCCCCCTCTCTCTACCTCACTGCCTCGGTATGAAGGATTTTACAGTGCTTTTCAGTGAGACATCCGCCATTACGACTCACCCCCCCCCCCCCCCCTTCCCCCTTTTTTGGTTTTTTTTTTTCTCCTCCATCTGCTGTAATTAGACGGATAAACATGTAAGGGAACCTTACCACCGCCTTTTCGCCTCTTTTAAAACCAGCTACAGTCCTCACAATCTGCAGGCAGACATTTTTTCCCCCCTTTTGTGCCTCTGCCATGGATTCACGGAGCAAAAAAAAATAACCAAACAGCCACACACACACACACACACACACCAAAAAAGGACAGTTCTGCAGACAACCACACAGAAAGAAATCCTTCCTTGAAAATAGGACCTTCCTGAGGTCTTGTAGACATGTCTGAGGAGAAGGAGACCGCCAGGACGACCCTTGGGATCCCTCGCCCAGGACAGTAACACGGGCCTGGTCGGTATGTTCCTCTGAGGGCAGAAGGGTGTACTCACCACGCACCACAGTTGAATGCAGCTCTGAAGGTGATGTTGTTATGTTGTTACGCTTTTTTTTGTTTTGTTTTGGCTTTGTTTTTAAATATAGCTATAGATAACTGGTCTGTATCACCACGTCTCCCTCCCGTACAGTTTGCAAGGCAAAGCAGATCATGGTGAGATGGTTACGGAGCTTTGTATGGCTGTGGCTTAGCATGAAAGAAACACCAAAAAATGACCAAAAAAAAAACCCCAAAAAAACCAAACCAACAACAACAACAACAAAAAAACACAACCAAAAAACAACCAAAGCAACAAAAAGCGATGTACAGCATCTATAGGAAGCGTTGTGCAGCTCTGCTGAACGACCGTACACAGCGAGGAGTCCTGCTCAAGGCTGAGCTCGATGCAGATCACACAGAAAAAGGACGTGCAGTGCTTTTCCACAGAGCACACGGCGCAAAAAAAGTGCTCTCCTGGAGACCTGGGCAGCATTCAGTGGTGGTAAACAGCCTCAGGCAGCTTTGAGCTAAAGTATCTTGCTAAGTTAAATATTCCAAAAGCATCAATTGGTTTAGAGCAACAGACAAGAACATAGACATGCAAGGCTTAGAAATAAGGACCACTTCGGTAACATTAACATGAAAACTACACTTAGCAAGGACAGAATGGAGTGGGTACTTACAACGTAAAAGAAAAATCTTAAAATTGCCTTTTTTTTTTTTTTTTTTTGCCAGAAATCAGTATTCCTATGTCTATAGTTAAAACATTACCTTCAAGCACGAGAGGAGTTAATAACAATGGCCAGGAATTAGGTGTTTAACACAGGAAATACCTCCTAAAATTTATTGTGCAGTCATCACAGAGCTCTATCAAGCTTTAAAAACCCCCAAAACCGAGCAACAACAGAAAAAAATCATGTATTTACTCTGTTTTTGCATTCAAAATTGTTACTGCTGACATAGGGTGTGCCATGACCTAGTTACACAAGACAAAGATGGATCCCGAATCATAAGGGAAAAATCCGAAATCTTTTTAAAATCTTCCTTCTTCT